GCCTTCGTCGCGGATCCTTCTAACGCTCTCCCCCATGGCCTGCTGTGATTTGCCTTTGTCGCGGATCCTTTGAACTCTCTCCCTTCGTCGCGGATCCTTCTATCGCTCTCCCCTATGGCCTGCTGTGCTAGCCTTTGTCGCGGATCACTTGGACGCCAGCCTCAGAGCTGGGCAGTCAGCCTCGCAGCCCGACGAAAGGAGGACAAATGTTGTGTGACTTAAACCCTATTGTCCAAACCTTAAACCCTAGATACCAAACCTGTGATTACTGTTTGCTTTGGCTGCCTGATCCCCATGCATTTAGCCTGCGCCCGGAACCTAAACCTTTCGACCTGAACTTCCAAATCCACGCAAGCGTCCCATAACTTCAACGACATTAAATCTTACATCGCAAACGCGACAAAATGGTAGGTCACTCATGACCCAAGCCCAGGAACGGGGAAACGATACCCCATGCTTTTGAATCCCAATGTATTAAACCCAGGAACCAAATAAAGATCGTACCTTCAAGTAGTGATTTAGTTTTGAAGGTGAGGTTTTCTTGTCGTGGTCGTGTTCAGCGCAAGACATCCATCAGTTGCATCCCTTAATTGGGAGATGTCAGCGTTTGGATCGTCGAGCAATGTAGTGTGTACTGGAGACTCGCAGAGCGCCAGTTGCCTGTGCGTACAAAGGATGTCTAGGAGTGGACTGGGGTGTGAATAAACCCATTCGGACATCTTCTGACCATTACTGGACAGCAGTGTTGGCGTTCAGGGCGGCAGACCGACCAATCTCTTGGTGTTTGCCTCAGTTTGGGGGTGCACTTCCAAAGGTTTCCGGTCCAATGGTTTCGGCCCCACGCAACCATTGCCCACAGAGGTACAAGAGAACCGACGTCTCACAGAGGCATTTGCAGATTTACAGATCACGCACGATGTTTACAGCAGAGTGCAGTTGAAGTTTTCGGCCAGGAAAACATTGAGTTGGCAGAGGCATTTGCAGATCTACAGATCACCCACGATGTTTACAGCAGAGTGCAGTTGAAGTTTTCGGCCAGGAAAACATTGAGTTGGCAGCTGCTCTGCAGGCGAGGACCTGTTGCTACGGCGCGTTGAGCGTGTTTCTACATAAATTAAGACGTCTCTGAAGCAGGAAGCCCGATCAGACAATGAGCGCCTGGCATCATTGTGCGACCGACTGGCCCGCAATCTTAGATTTTCTGTTTTGTCCGTTACATGTGCAACATCGTTTGTCGCCTGAGGCTTCAGAGTTGCGAGCAGGCCGATCAGTTATCTCGCCTGAGACCTTGAGCGGAAAGTAGGGCCAAGTGACGTTGGGGGTTTTCTGCCAAACTAGAGCAGACTCCAGCAACCCGCAAGGAATGCGGGCTCTAGCCATTAGGCATGCAAGTAGTGGGGTTCAGAGTGGCTTTCGCAAGCTTCAGCATCTTGAAGCCACACAGCTGAATGAGCATCAGCCTGAGCTGAACCCTCGGTAGGAGTTAGTCGCTGTTGTCAAAGCGGGGTAGGAGTTAGTCGCCGTAGTCAAAGTGGGGTTCAGAGTGGCTTTGGCAAACTTCAGCATCTTGAAACCGCACAGCTGAATGAGCATCAGCCTGATCTGAACCCTCGGTAGGAGTTAGTCGCCGTGGTCAAAGTGGGGTTCTGAGTGGTTTTGGCAAGCTTTTGCATCTTGAAGCCGCGCAGCTGAATGAGCGTCAGCCTGAGCTGAACCTTCGGTAGGTAGGAGTTAGTCGCCGTAGTCAAAGTGGGGTTCAGAGTGGCTTTCGCAAGTTTCAGCATCTTGAAGCCGCGCAGCTGAATGAGCATCAGACCCTCGGTAGGAGTTTGTCGCCGTAGTCCATTTTAACTCACCAGCCGGCAAGGCGTGAAAAACATGTGCGGCTGTCATTCAAATTTGATCTTCATGTCCAAGCGAAAGCGCGCACTCAAAAGCAATCCGGACGCCTTGACATGCAGCAAGGCTTGTCCAGAAGGAGGAGGCGCAGGTTGTGCTTCCGGTGCTGCTGGCCGCGTGCATGCTAGCAGCGCAACGACGCAGCAGGATGCGAGACTACAGGGAAGTGCGTCAGAGCATGGCCATCGATGCAAACATGAGTTGGCTGCTTGAGCCATGCTGACATGTTTTGTGTCGGGGACCCCATGAAAAGTGTGTGTGTGTGTGTGTTTCTATGTTTTTTTTTTTTGTGTGTGTGTGTGTTTCTGTGTGTGTTTCTGTGTGTTTGTGCGACAGTCGGTCTTCATTTCAGGCTACGTTCCAATGGCTGCCCGGAGAGCTGGAAGTCGGGCGTCAAGTTTCACTGACCAAAAAGCAGAAAGCCGAAGCAGTACTTGCAAAAACCTGTTCACAATATTTCACGACACGGATGCAAGTGCATTTAGTTTTTCGTTTCAAGGTGTCGGTGATGTGGTTCAAGTGGAAGGAACAAGGCCAAACACTGGTGATTGTTGAATGTTCCCAATCTTCCCACAGAAATATCCAGCAGCCGAAACATCAGGCGTACTGAGGTCTTTCGGCGCCTTTGGCAGCACCCAGTTCTAGTCAAAAACAGCAGCAGCGCAGCAAAAGACGTAAATGGTTGCAACTTTCAGCGTGCGCGTTGCCCCGCATTCCGTGAAGTCGTAGAGCCTGGTAGCTTGGATCGCAACAGCTCTACGTACGAGGGCCAATGGAAGATGGAGGTGCCTTGCCGAATCGCATCACTTCGCATCTCTTCGCATCACTCCGCCGCTTCGCGCCCCCTCCCCCCCCACTTGAGGAGCACTGTGGAGTCACTGAGGTCCAAGACGGCCACGGGCCGGAGAAGCTCGTGGACGGCATATTCGAGGTCGGGGACCTGAAGCCTTTTTCCTTATTGCACGCACCGCTGTAGAATGCTTCGAACGATATCGAAATGGGCCGAAGAGACAAGCTGGATAGTAGTTACCCCAAAAATCCCATTATGCAGAGCGCAGGTCCACAATGTGAGGACAGCTGTGACAGTCAGAGTTTATATATTTTTCACCACCGGCACCACCCAACGAAGTCAAGGTCATGGCTGCACGCCCGGAGGATGGCTTGAAGCTGGCAGGTCAGCGTTTGCCACGTTCAGGCGCGCTTTCTGTGCAAAGTTTCGGGGTTCACTTGGGGCGGTTTCGGGGTGACGGGGTCGGCTCCCGAAGACGGGGAACTCCGAGAAACGAACATGAAGGCATGTTCAACTCTAAAGCGTGCTGTCAGGGCTCCCATCGCTTCAAGGGCCTCATGCAGGCTTACAAGTGCGCATTGCAAGAGATTTAATGGGACAAAGCCTATGCCAACTCTAGCACGCGCGGCTGCAAGGAATGTAAGTGCTTTGTGTGAGGTACAGCAAGGAAGATGATATCTGGGAGGCGGCAGTTGACGTTGCAGTCCAGCAGATTGAAGACGAGGCCTTGTAGTGTAGTTCGTGTAGGTGGTGTAGTAAGTTGATGTAGTTAGCGCAGCTGAGCCGCATGGACAGACAGTAGCATAGATCAGTGGATAACCATCTGCTCAGGCCGATTTGTTGGACGTGAATCTGGACCTGCCAGACTTCGACAGCAAAGTTGCCATGGGCAAGTTTGTAAGGTGCTGTACATTCACAGGCTTGGCAAGTCGCCTGCGATGCGAAGTGCATATGCTAAGTGCTTCACCATATGCGTCCGACCTGCAGGTCTCCAAGCTTCCTCTCATCATCAGCTCAATGAGTTGGGATGTGATTGCAGAGGGCCTCAAAAGTACGCATGCGCTGCTTCGGCTAAGCCGTGGGAAGTTTTCTTGCCCTTGACTTGATGGTGTCGGTGACATGGTCTGGCAGGCAGACGGCGAGTTCCCCAACTATCAGGAAAAAGTGACCTCGTGCCAGCGAGCGTACCATCTGCTGCGATCTAAGCTGGACTTCCCAGCGGAGGACGGAGTCAAGCAGCGCGTGCAGCTTGCACCTCAATGTCACGTTGAGCTTCTGGAGTGCAGGACATCATTTTCGACTGTCTTGTCACGCCATTGGGCGCCGCTCTAAGACCATGAGCAGTACAACAAATTGCATCATGGAAGCTGTGGCAGAGCTTGGGTGGGTGGCAATGCTTGGTGCTCAATGTTCAAGTGCTCTTTTTTGATGAAGGCTCCCACGGCATCCGGGCCTCGCCGAAAGACTTCATTGACGCCGTGGCAGAAGTGAAGCGGACGTGCCCGGGTGCCAGCTTCATCGCGGGGGCCCGGGGCCGAGATATCTTTCGATTCACCACCCTCACCAAAATGTGAATGCCAGTATACCATATGTGTAGACACATGCAGAATGAGCAAGAGTGAGGATTCTAAGGTTGAAGATAATTTTGCATTCTTCAATGCTTGAAAGTCGACCGCGTCCAAATGTTTGAAGTGCAAGCGTCCAGATTTTGCAATGCGAAACACGCGGTATCCTATGGGCATCATTCGGGGTATCGCTCAAGTAGGATAAATGAAGTTACGTGTAGACCTCCATATTCTTGCCCTGACGTTGCCTTAGGCCAAACGCAACATCCCCAAGTACAAAGCTTGCCGCAGTATCATTTCTATGGCGACAAACCCATGAACATCGCGTGTCGTTGTGGCGAAGGTTCTGTACCCACACTAGATGATGTGTTTAGGCATCTCGGGATTTCGTACTTTCGTAGCGAATTCGCTGGTTTTTTCATGGCTCTAAATTCAACTTGGTCATCGGTGGGAAGGGATCCGTGGTCGTTGAGGTTTTCAGGTCATTGTTTGCCTTGTATCACTCCTGTCTTGTGTATGCACTTATGTTTATACACACGCATGTGACAAGCTCACCCCACACGCAGTCAGGTTTTCCAAGCACATTGTTTGTCAGGTCAGCAACCTGGGAGTTGCTTGCCGCAGTGCCGCCATGTTGCGCGAAGCCGTGGCCAGTACGCCGAGACCTTGGCACGACGTGTCAGAATCCGGGATGCTGTGCGGGGGCTTGCGCCGACGATTTACAGGGGGGGAGGGCATGCGGGGGCATGCAGAGGTTCCTGCAACAAGCAGTGCCAATGGGCCTGAACCTTGCGCTGGTGGAGCTTGGTCGCCTGCCACGTGTCGACAGCCTGGAGGAGACTGGCAAGCACACTTGTATGGAAGCACGGAGAAGAGCAGTTGCACAGAGAAATATTCTTCAGGAGCCCACTCGAAGCATGTGCTTGGATGTGATCACAAACCACGCCGTCGACGGCCAGCACATCTCCAGGACTTGCCACACATGTCCTGACATGTCCTCGATGAGGCACTGACAGACAAACCAGACCGGGCAGGTTCCTCAACTACGGGGCCTTCCTGTCCGGATCGTCCGCTGCGGAGGCTTCTCGGAGCCATTAGGGCGTCTCTTTGACGCCTCCCCTGGGCATGGCCGTTCAGTCCTTTTTCAAAAGTCCTGTCCGTTGTTTGTGCAGGAAGCTCAGAGGGCGAAGGCGAAGATCGCAAACACACTGCAGCCAAAGCTCTGCCCTTAAACATGTTTTCATATGTGTTGTTTGTTGGAGCACGCTTCTCCATGGCACGGATGCTCTCGCGGATGACCTCAATTTGCCTTCAAAAAAGTCCCTTCTTCTCAGGGACAAATCGGCCTTGGTGCTGGCCAAGCAGCGTGCACCGGAGCCTCTCAGACCGAGTCCACAGTTTACCCACCCTGTGGAGATTCTGGTGCAGGCGCGCAGCTGTGCAGCGGTCCAGCTTGGTATCGTGGAGAGAGCAAGGGGGGGGGTGCTTTTGGCTTTTTGCAACTGACAGGCAACAGGCACAATCAGCTCGTCCATCTTCCAGACCTTTGGGAGCAAGGCACATGCGGCCGCAAACTACCACAGGCGGGTGGGGGGATGTGGGAGGGCCCCAGCCTTCGCTGGGGCCTCCTTGGAATGGTCTGTTGGCACGGTCTGTGGGCTTGAGGCTTAGTTCTGCCAGCACCATCAACAAGACGGTGCATTTCTCGTCAATCTCCGTCTACATGGGCCAGGGAGGTTCAGGACTCCTCTCTCAACATGATTTCCCACTTCTTGTACATCTGGTTCCAGGGCAGCATCGCCTTGTGCTGTCATCTGCTGGCACGTTTGCACCGCAGGACCCATTACAGGTGCTAGCAGCCTGATGGATGGGTTGGCCTTGTGGGAGAGGCGGGAGCTGTCCGCGAGCTTCGATGGCGCGAGCCGTGTGTTCCTCTTCGTGTTGACTCAGGCACCAAGGCATCAACCAGTACTCCACAACTGTGCTCTGGGGTGCCATTGGAGAAATTGGTCTTCGAAAGGCCATTTGCAAGTTCTTGCTGCGGACCAGAGCAGCGCGCAAAGCAGAGGGCCGCATTGTAACTTCGGCTTCGCTGATGACGCAGGCCATCTATGGTTCCCGAGATGTGTTCGCGCAGTTTGACTTGGGACAGAAGCTCATTGGGCCTGCCGACACCGCAATGCTAGAGAAGCAGGCCGGAGCCAGATGGAGCCATGTAGGGCATCCAAGTCAACAGAAACGCATTGGCTTGTGAAGAGCGTCGCAAGGTTTGCTGCAATCCTCAGACGTGGGATTTTGTGGGCCTGGCCTACCTGGACAACACGTGGCAGGATTCGCTGGGAGGCCTGCGCCAAGTCAGGCCTACGAGTTTATCTAGTTTCCGATGCTCACACGGATGGGTTCCTGAAGCAAAAGCCGCGAAAGCCGCGAACTTTCGGTGCAGGCCGGGGTGGTGGTGGCCTCTCAAGCCGAAAGACTTTCCTGGACAATTGAGTGCGGTGCCAAGTCAGGGAGGGAATTGCACCGGGGCACGCTCAGTGCAGCGTGCAACAAGACAGAGAGAGAGAGAGAGAGAGAGTGAATGTATGTCTCACCAAAACGACACCTCAAACCCACAGGGAATACCCAACGACCCTCGCAGTACATTATGGTTGTCTTGTCATGATACCGAACGGGAGTCGCTGCTGCTATACAAGAGGTGTCAAGTCGCATCACTGGACATGAGCGGAGAACTCACGGACATGCTATGACAAGTGTTGAGTAGGTTTAAGTGTTGAGTAGTTGTGGTTGATGAAGGAGTTCTTGGAGACATGTGCAGTGCAGTGCCCTACCCCGGGAAGTGCATCAAATTGCAGGTCAATGTTATTTGGGGAGGTAAGCACATACCGGGTAAATTTGTGGGGAGATACAGAGGGGGACATTCCACACGAGAAGCAACCCCATCTCCCCGGCTGAACTTTCACCAACTGACTCAGTGGAGCACGCCCGTGAGGGCGACCTCCCCTCCGGGAGGTTGTGTGCTATGGAAGGAAGGAAGGAAGAGCGAGAGAGAGAGAGAGAGAGCTGCGCCTAGGCGCGGGGCTTGCCTCATGCCCCAAAGAAAGAAAGAAAAGACAGCTGAGGAAGGAAGGAAGAGAGAAAGAGCTTTTTCGAGCTTTCCGAGCGCTTCTGCTTTTGGATCTAAGGTGGAGGCCACTGTGACCCGCGCGAGCTCGGACTGCGCACCCTGCGCAGCATGCTGCGTCCCACTCTTCCGTAGAGGGAGCGGGTCCAAGAGCTGCAGGCTCTCTGCCCCTTTCAGGGTCTTGTATGGGTCACATGGGTCTTCCCCCCCTCCTAACGGTTCCATGTCTCCCTCCATGGTGGATAAAGAAGGCCCCTCCCACCAAGAAGGTGCTGCGCACAACAAGTTAAAGTCGCAATGACAATCGGACTCATGCGCTCCCTCATAGCGACAGAGCTTTGAAAGTGCTGCTCTATCTCAGTGAGAAAAAAGGGGATCAGCGTGTGAAGCTTGCCGTTGAAGCCTGCGCATGTCTGAAGACGATTGATGAGCGATGCGATCGATGGGCGAATGCCAGCGAATGCTGTGGGTCCTGTGGGCCCTGTGGGCCCTCTCCTTAGAGTCGACGAGGGCTTCGGTCACGAAAAACTGCCGTTGACGAAGCATGCATGGACGAGCTTGCTATTGTGAAGCCGCCTGCGCTGACCCAGCTTATGGTCAGGATGCCGTGCAAGGCTGTTTCCATACTGTGCAGGAAGGGGGCCATAATGAACATACATATACTCTAGGAGCGTGATCGTTTCGAGGGCAGGTCTTCGGGCCTCATGGCCTTCGAGGAACGGTGGCCGGTGATGGCCGAAACGTGCTTTGGAAGCGGCTGAGTGATGTTGCGGGCATTCTTCAGCGAGCCGCGAGCTGGCCACCTCCGAGAGGAAAAAGAAGGCTGCGAGATGCTGCGAGGTGTGGGCTGCGTGCGATACGTGGGAGGTGTGGCTTCCATCTAACCATGGACGGGAATTTGAGGGCGGTCGTGCGGCGACGTCGCGAAGAGCGTGCGCAGGGTCAAGGGACTCCACGCAGGCACTCGAAGAACGTGGCATCACTTCGCGTCGTCCAAAATTCGCCGTCTGAACGGTGGCACAATGTGGCACAATGTGGCACAATGTGGAACAATGTGGCACAAGTACATGCTTGTTTGCAGCCAACGTGCACCTTAGCTCTTCTATCTGCAGACTCCGACTCCTGAACCCATGAAAAGACCACTTCCGAATACGACGCCTCATATCAGTCCTGAGTTATACACAAGGTTTGAGCGCCTCCGAGCCTTGGCTGTGTTGGGCTTCAAGATGCTTCAAGACTAATCCAAGACAAGAGACAGCTGCAGAATTTCTGGGGTTATCTCAACGTCCGTACTCTTTGACAGCACTGTTCTTGCGCCACCCCGCGCTGGCACCTTTTTTCACTGCACCCCCGGTTCCACATACCTGCAACCTTGGCAAAGTCCATTTAGATTTCGGTGAGGCCCTATGTTCGCTTGTCGCATTCTATCTTGTGTTTTAATCGCACCTTCAGGTCGATGAGCTTCGGCAAAAAGGGCAGAAGCACTTGCGCAAAAGCCTGAGGCTTCACAATCCTGCATGCCAACCCCTTCGACGCTTGCTTTCCCTGTCAACACAAGACGCAAGCCGTCGCAAGCCTTCGCAAGCCTTTAGGCCCAAATGTCAGGCATTTTCAAACAACTATGGGTCGGACTTGTAAGTCCGGGGCATTTGAGTTAGGTTTTCGGGGGAAGCGCGGTAGATTCTTGCTCCCGTGCGATGGCTAACGCGTCTGCTGTGTCCCAAGCTTGTATGGCTTCTGGCACACGCGCCTCGGCGCGTGGCTGTCTTGTCTCGCGATCAAACTTTCAATTTTGATGGTTTGCTAGATTCGGGGCAAGCGCGGTAAAGTTCATGCACGGCAGGTTCCCCATTTCTCCGTGCAACCGGCAACAGGTCTTTTGTATCTCAAGCTCATAAATTTGCTGCTTCTCAAAGCCACATGCACGGGATCCAAACAACTTGAACTCCGGTTTACATTCTGTTGGGGGTGTTCACTGGTGTCCAGGTGTCGCAAACCTTGGTTTTTCCAAGGTTTTTCATCGGTCATGTCTCGCAACTCGTGGTTTTCCCGAGGGTTTTTATCGGCTTAGCATCGGGAACCTTGGTTTTACCAAGGTTCTTCATCGTTAACCAATCCCTTGAAACAGAACCCAAATCCCAACCCCTGACCGGAAAGACTCCAAGTTGCAGCTGAGGCCAGACCTGAGAGCAGGGGCAAAGGAAAAGGGAAAATGCACAGGTCGATAGGGGGCTGGAGGTACCGTGGGTTTATTTGCGAGATAAGTTTCGCATGTTTTTTGTGCAAAAAGTGCACTCCCACAGCGTCCCATTTTCTTATATTTTTGCTTGGATGTTTTGGTTTCATGCGTGTCTGTGTGTGTCTGTGTGTGTGTGCCTTTTTTAAGTATTCGCAATAAACGAGAACCACGCATTGGATCTGCCTGTAGAGCTCAGCGTTGTACATGAAGAATAGAATCCTTCTGGCTGGTTGCCAAGGGTTGCTTCATCGTCTGCTATGGTGACCTCGTGCCAGTTGCAATTCCCCATCCTGGATGGATGACAGGCGTGTCTAACGTCGACTGGGGCATGTAGTCGCCAAGGGTAGGAGACGAGGAGTAGGGATCGCCCGCTCTTGCAATCGGATCTTTGTTGGGCCATTCATGCTGTCTTCGTCTGTTACTTGAGATGACCTGTCCTATATGTCACGTATCCCCAACTACATCGGTGCGAGACGATTATCTGAAGGGCGGCGCGTGGTAATGACATCCTCGCGGAGCGGCCAGGCTCTACGAGGTCGCTCTTCACTTCGCTTGCCAGAAGCTGGCAACAGGGGGAAAGGACGGCGAATGTCTTCACCAGAAGCCTGACTTTTTGAGCTTCCTAACTTTGCGGTGGATGTGAGTTTTGTGCAAGCATACCTACCGTCGCTACCGTCGTGGCTTGGCTATTGTGCAAGTGTACCCACCGTCGTGGCTTGGTTCTTCTGGAAGTGTACCTGCCGTCGCTGCTTGGTTTCGTGGAAGTCTACCTACGGTAGTGGCCCGTGTCAGCCGGGGTTTTAGGGTTCGAAGCTTGGGATTTGGGATGGTTGCCGGCTCTCACGGATCAACGGGCTACCTCACTCAGGAATAAGACCCTTGAAGGCTGCAGCCCCAAGCAAGACCTTGGGGCAATGTGCGCTTCGAGTCCAGACTTTTTGCTTTGACTGTCGAATCGAAAGCCAGCGTATGCCATTTCCGCAACACGTCTTGTGTCAAGTATACTCCAGTCCACCCTGTGGGGGCCACCCTGAGGGTCCATACTAAGTTTCCTCACCATGCCAAAAATCTCTCGGAGAAGCGTCTCAATAAGCGTGGCTGTGTGCTGACTTGTGTGCTTGCCTTTTTTAAAGGTGCTTGCGCACTACAACAGCTCTGATTCCCGACACCGGGTCCGCTGAGCCAGCCAACGTAGGACATGTAGTGACCACATTCCTCCGGATCAGGGCCATGTAGCATACATGTGTGTCGTTGTGTGTTTTTGCAGCAATAGAGGTCCTGCGCACCACTTTCAGAGGCTGTTTCGTTTTTGACATCACTTCACATCGGTCACGATGCTGGGCCTTGTGTCGTCCTTTTTGCACGAGATGGAGGCGTACATTCCTTTGTAACTCCCCTTTGCTGCCGGCATGAGCATCACCCGGCTTTGACATAATCGGCCCAGACGCACGATGCGGAACGCATTCATGGAAACCTGGGAGTGGGAGAGAGCGGTTTCTGATAACGGGGTGGACACTCAGGGAAAATAGTTGCCAGAGGTCGGGGGCATCATGACGCTGCAAGATCGAGCGTACTTGTGGCAACATAGTGTTGCGTATCTTCCATCACCAGAAACTCCCCAAACATTACACAGTCCATCCAATTTAGTAAGGCGATATCTCATGTCCGAATCTTAGAGCAGGTTGCGTCTGAACTCATTGCCATGTTCCCACTTTAAGAACTATCTGGTGGATCGAAAAAGTGTTCTTCTTTGGACCGGGTGCGAACATATCCAGCAGCAATTCGGCAACAGAGGCTGCGAACACTTCGACGTCTTCTTCGCAGGGCGAGCTGCTGCTCGACTGAGTCTCAGTCTCACTTACTACTCGCCCACTTTCGTGGTAGTTCATGGAGTGGGCAGCTTTTGTACAGATGCTGGCGCCAGGGAAGCCGCTTTCGACATGAAAGCGGCAAATCAGTGTGACGGATACACCCCACGAAGCCAAAAGCGCGTGCAGCAGGTTTGTGCCAGGCCAGGTGTTGAGGTGGCCGGTGGCAACAGCTTGTTGGACCCAGAATGCTGCGGACATGAGCTCGAAAGCTCGAAGACGCAGCCGCAACAGCCATAACTGCATACCCAGGCAACTTCTTTGTTTGAACAGCATGCCCCATGTGTATTCTGATACTCCTAAACAACTTTGGCCGGGGTTCTCAACGAAAATACATTAAAGCGGCGCAGCCTTTGCACGAACATGGGGTTTGCTGTGGTAGCTACTTGTCTCCAAGCCTCGCGCGTGCTCAGCCCTCGCACCATGATCTTCGACTTTGACGCGCTGGAGGCAGTTCGGCGGTCGACCGTTCGGGTTTGTCCCATGATGTAAACATGCGGCGCTGGCCGGTGTTGTTGTTTGTGTAGCTGCTATCGATGATGTGCAGTTTTCAGGATGCCGAGCGGGCAGAGGCCCTGCCGCGGAGAGCCAGCAGTCAGTCTTATCAATGCTGCAGAAGCATTTTGGCCCTTGTGCGACCATGATCTGGCCCAGACAGAGCTCCATCTGCAGCAGGTGAAGCGTCGGCTCACACGGCGGCGTTCAAGGCGCTGCGTTGAGAAGGATTTCGTGATCTAAGCGTGGGCGCACTGTTGTGCAAGACAGTGCTTCCAGGAGCTTTGCTGCGTTGCTTGAGCCAGGAGTGTAACTCTCAGAAGCACGGGCCATACACGCCCGACACACACAGGCCCTACTCGCTGGGTGTTTCTAGCGCCCTCAGCGTCCACGACGCCTTGAAAGCCACGACTCGGGGGTGTTTCCGAAACCCTCCAGCAAATGCAAGTGGAGTACAGCCTTGGCAGCCTTGCCCTCGACGTAGCCAGCGTCCACGACGCTGTGAAGGGCCATGACTTGATGATGCAGAGTGTTCCAATACCTTCCTGCGCGAAAAGGAGGACTTCCTCACGTCAAAGTCAAGGATGACATGTTCATCAATCTCGCAAGTGTCAGATGTGACATTACGGCAGTGGAGAACAACTTGACGGGTTCGTGGATGTTTTCTTTTGATTGTGATACGTTGTTTGTGCGCGCCTGATGCTGCGTTCATCAGTGCAGGACACAGCAGTTCGGTTGAAGAGTGACATGGTCCAGACCATGGAGGAAACTCTCAAGGCCGCGAAGCCTGCAGCCTGGGTGTCGTTTTATGCTGGTGACAGCGTGATCTTGTTCGCTGAAGTGATTTTTTTTACGAGGTCTTCCGGCGTTTCGAGGACGAGCTAGCAGCTAGAAGCTATGCGCGAGGAACGCAAGACCCACGCAGACAAACAAACGCAGACACAGTCACAGAACACCGACGCACAGACGCACAGAGACACAGACACAGAGACGCAGAGACACAGACACGAGACACAGAGACACAGACAGAGACACAGACGCAGACACGGACAGAGACTCGGACAGAGACACAGATGCAGAAACAGTGAGAAACAGAGAGACAGACAGACACAGACAGAGACAGAGACAGAGACAGAGACAGAGACAGAGACAGAGACAGAGACAGAGACAGAGACAGAGACAGAGACAGAGACAGAGACAGAGAGAGAGAGAGAGAGAGAAAACAAAAACAAAAAAAAGAAAAAGAGAAAGAGAGAGAGAGAGAGAGAGATAGGATAGAGGAGAGAGAGAGAGGAGAGAAAGCGAGGAAGATAGAGAAGAGAGTAGATAGAGAGAGAGAGAGAGAGAGCGAGGGCGAGGGAGAGGGAAAGAGGGAGAGGGAGAGGTAGAGGGAGAGGGAGAGGGAATAGGGAGAGGGGAGAAGGGAGAGAGGGGAGAGAGAGAGAGAGGAAGAGAGATCGAGAGAGAGAGAGAAGAGAGAGAGAGAGATAAAAAACAAAAAAACAAAGAGAGATAGAGAGAAGAGAGAGAAGGAGAGAGAAGAAGAGAGAGAGAGAGAGAGAGGAGAAAAGAGAGAGGAGAGATAGAGGAGAGAGAGATAGAGAGAGAGAAGAAGAGAGAGAGAGAAGGGAGAGAGGAGAGAGAGAGAGGGAGAGAGAACCATAGAAGCGAGAGGGAGATGGAGAGAGAGAGAGAGAGAGAGAGAGAGAGAGAGAGAGAGAGAGAGAGAGAGAGAGAGAGAGAAAGAGAGCACAGAGCGACAGACAGCGCAACGTCAGACACAGGGACAGACAGAGAGACGGACGCAGGGACAGACAGAGAGACAGACAGAGAGAGACAGAGAGACAGAGCAGACAAGATTTTTTTTTAAGGCGCTTGTGTTGTAGTAGGAGGTGGAGGGGGTTTTGGGTGGGGTTGTCTTTTCAAAAACCGGGGCTTTGGGCTTCTCAGTTGAGAAGCAAAATTCTAGAACCTAAAAAGTCTTCACCCTGAGCTCCGTAAGTACGCGAGCTGAATGTGGGCTAAACTTGATAACGAACTTGCTCATGTTGTGCTTTGTCAAGCTCATGACCATTGCGACTTGTTACAGCCAGCTGAGTCGATCTTTAACATGGGTATTCGGACGTGTGCCTGCCGATGGGCGCCCCGCCACTTCGTTGTCACCCCAGATTTGCAGGTGGCCATTCCCAAACGGTTCTGTTACGACACAGTGATACTTCACTGATACTTCGCCCAAAACACTCAGTCATATGCAGCTCGGTCATCTTGCCGCAGTGAAAACGGATGGATTTCTGTAGCTTGGCATGTCGGAGAAGAGGCACGCGCAAGCCTCTTTGTGAGCGCAGCTTGTCAGAGAACAGTGTTCCCTTACAATCCGTAGCGGGTGGTCGGCCGGTGCGCTTTCGGGAGATGAGCCACGTTTGAAAGCGCGGATGGCTTGGGCGACCTCATAATCGGACGCAGGAAAATCAGAGGGGGCAGCCTGTAGGAGCCTGGCCCGGAGTTCTGCAGCAGCCATGCGTCGGGAAGCGGCAGATCCACGAGACTTCACAGCAACGGGAAAGGTCAGCTTCTGCGGCGGGGCGGCGGTCGGGTGCATCCATGCTAGCAACGGGCAACGGGCGAGGGACGAACTGCCAATGACACCGCTGCTGTTGCGAAGCTGTCGGTTTCTTCGGGAAAAAACTCAAATTGTCTTCCCGCAATACCTTTGATGGGGGCGTGGTGGTCGTTGCGGTGCTCAGCCTCGATGGAGTTCCCTGATGGCGGTGACGGACCGCCGTGGCCTGCTGCAGCAGGGTTGTCGTCGGAGATGCAGGGAGATTTGAGGGTCTACTATCAGTTGCGAACTCTGCGCCGTCCTCCCGCACTGCCAAACAGCCATTGCGCTGTCACTAGCGGCCTCTGCGGTGACATGCAGTTGCGCCGGCCGTGCTGCGGGCTGATGCTGCTGGTTTCCGCGCTCTGACTCATTGGTGCGCAGTGAGCAGAAAGCCACGCTCGGGCTGCCTTCGGTTCTGGGGTCTCTGGGGCTGGTGGGGAGTTGCAGAAACTGCCTCGGCCTGGCAAGGTCACTGAGCGCAAGTGCCATGTGGCACGCCTGGCAACGAGGCTACCTGGGCTGACTGTCCGACGCCTGGCCAGAGCGTTGGCGCGCAAGTAAGTCTTCAAGGGATATTGCTTCAACATGCTTCAAGACCCGGTCGCTAGCCAGGCGGCGTGTCTTTTCGCCACTTTTCTTGGCAGTAGGGCTCGTTCACCGATGGCCAACGGTGGCAGTGGTCGCCTGGAGGCCACCGCGCCCCACACAAAGCCAGATCGCTGATGACCCCTGAAAGCATGTCCAGCAGAACAACTTGAATGCCGCGACCCTCTCGCGTCCACCCAACGGGGGGTTGGCCTTGCAATCCGCTGTTCGCGCAGCGCCGGTAGCACATGCCTCCCATTTATGCGAAGCGAGGCGAGCGTGCTTGCTCTGGAGCAAATTCGTGTACCGAATCGTGCCAACACTCAAGCACGCCCAGCGGGCGCGGCTTCCAGGCTCCGCGAGCACCCCCATGCTCCGCCGCTCCGCCGGGCAGCGGGTGAAGCGGCCACTGTCGGGCACCATGCCCACTTGTGCCTACGCAAGATCGCAACCCGCATTGCGAAGCTTGGCGACGCGGCAGGCGGCAACTCGAGGAGCGAGGCGGCGTAGGCGCGCTGGGAAGCGACTGCCAGGAGCCCAGACCAGCGCGAGATCCAGGCAACGATGGCAGAGGGCCTCAACTGCGCTGGGACGGTGGAGGCCCGGTGTCGCGCGAGGAGGCGCGGGAGTTGCACAGCTTCGGTGCCGAACCTGCCGCCAACCTCACGGCCAACAACAACCAGGCGGCAGCGCCGCGCGCGCTCCAGCTCTGGATATGTCTGGTGCCGCTTGCGTCGGGCGGCGGCAGAGACGGCGGCGGACGCGCTTCCCGTGATAGGTGCCCGTGCGCCCGCTTTCGCGCATACATGCCTCGCAGCTCTCGAAGGCCAATGCGGCGAGGCCGCATGCCTCCGCGAAGCTGCGGCGGCGCGGGACCTTTTGCGACACAAGGGCTGGCGAGACTGCCCTGCTTGGAGCTGTCTCTTACAAGGGTCGTGCCCAACCCCGGCTGACGATGCCGGCCTTGGGGACTGGCCGCATGGCTGGCAGATGCACGCATCGCGCACTCGCAACACCCACTTTCGCGAATGCGTGCTACCAGCCATGTCGCCCAGTTCCCAGGCGCTGCTGCGATCGCAAGCTGGGCCACAGGCGGGCGCTTGGCTCGCGGCGATCCCGACGGAGCCAGCCACCACGATGCCATTAGCGATGCAGCTTGCATTGCGACGCCGGCTGCGGCAACCACTGCCCCTGCGACGAAGTGTGTGCGGCCCAAAACCGTGGTGCGGCGCAAACGTCGATTGTTTCAGCGATCATGCACTAGCTTGCCCACGCATGGGCCTGCTGGCCAGGCGGGCTAAGCTCGTCAAACGAGCGTGGGTCCGCGTTGCGAGGGAGGCTCTGGGGGAATCTGGGGGCGGAAGGCCAGGTCGTCCCGGAACAGTGGCTGGCCCGAACCACTGCCCCAGGTGTAGGAGCAAAGGGCAGGTGCCGGCTCGATCTCGTCGTGTATGGAGCGACGTGCAATGGCGGCGCCTTGTGTTGCGATGCCACACTTGTCTCGCCCTTGACACGAACCGGTCACCCGCAACCCTATGCAGCGGTGGCCGATGGAGCAGCGCTGCGGGTGGCCGAACGCCGAAAGCGCGCTACCTACCCAAAGCTTTCATACGGGCCGCAAAAGCTCGCCGTGCTGGGCTCGGAGGTAGGCGGTCGCTGGAATGAGCAGGCGCGCCACTTCGTACGGGACCCCGCGCCTGCTCGCGGAGGCAGGCGGCTGCGTGACGTGCGTCAGAGAGGCAGCACAGTCTCGGTGGAGGACTGCAGTGCGCGAACCAAGCGAGCGGCTGCCAGCGGCGCCCGGGCTCGAATGGTCGGCAAGCAGTCCGCCCAGGAGGATCAGAAGCGGGAGCGGCGTCGACGGCCGAGCGCACCCCCAGGCCGCGCTGCGTGGGCTGAGGCAGTGCCTGCGTGGGAAGGGAGTCCTGCGACAACAGGATCGCTAGGCATGTGCACACCGCAGTGTCGTGCTAGTCGCGCCAGGCGAGAGCATCCGAAGCAAGTAGCTTGCACGCGGGGAGGCGAGGAGCCACGCGCACTGCAGGTCAGCAACGGCAGGAAGGCAGGCAAGCAGTTGGTCCTGGGTCTCCCGTTTGCGACGCAGTTCCAAAATTTTTATTTTTTTTGGTTTGCGCACCTTTTTACCGTCTGCCATGCTGTCCGACGTAACGTACTCCAGTCGGTGACACGACTACGGTCAGCTGTACCCGGCAGACCTGCGTCAGGGCCGCAGCGGCAGGCGGCTCTGGCCGGCGGGACCAGCGAGGTGGAGCAAGGTGTCGAGCGGCGGGCCGTCGCTGAATTCGGACGTCGACGGGTGCAGCCAGGGGCCTCCCAAGGCCGTGCTGGCGACTGCCTGCTGCGCCGCCACGGACAAAATGCCCCACCAGCGCCTCGCCCAGCTTGCGGTCGCTGCTGCGCGGATGGCGTGGGGGGCCCGGTGGGCCAGGGCAGGAAGAACGCGCAGTTTGGGGAATTCGTGCGATGCTGGCAGCATCGTGGTGCCCTCGCCAGTGACACAAACGGTTGATTTTCATCTTTCTCACACTGATGCCGCATCTCGAGCACTGCTGCTGTCACAGGCCGGGCGCGCGCCTTCACGGTTTTCCCTGGCTCGGCTGAGTTGACGGTGCCATCACCACTCCTCCGCGTTTTGCTGTTACGACGGCTTCGCTTGCCGCTGCCAGTCGCGCCGCGCGCGTGTGCGTCTGCCAAGGTCGCCTGGACCCCCCTCGGCGACCACAGGGCCCTCCCTCTCGAGGGTGTGCCAGGAAGCCGGGGCGAGGGTCGCCCGCAACGTTCGCCTGGCTGACATGAACATCGATGTCCCGGCCACGGATGACCGCCGCATCGAAGTCGTCGCGAACGGGCTGAAGCTGTTGATGCCACCATCGTCAGCCCCGTGACGCGGGCGGGCGACGCCCAGCCGCGCCGCCCGACGCAACGCCGCCCGAGCTCGTGCGCGCTCGCCGCTGCCGCTTGGTGGTCGTCGGTTTTTGAGGTTGGGGGCCGGTTTGGCGCAGAGGCGGCTACTTGGCTCCGGCTGCTCTTGTCCTTTGCGATGCAACGTAGCTTTTGCTGAGAGACCTGTCCCGACGCAAACTGGGGATGGGGGAACTCTTGATTGTACGATTGTTGTCGGCGCCGCACTTGGAATCTCAAGGATTTCAGTCAGGATTTACTAGTTTCCATATTCTTGGTTTGCCATGGCAGTTTGACCGGGTTCGCTGCCTATCCACCCATGGTGGTGTCCAGAGCCGCAGTGACTGAAGTGGTTGCATTGCTGACAAATTTGGATGCTGAAGCAGCATGTGATGATGCACAGATCAGGTCGGCAATCGCAGAAACACGGGAAGCCTTGGGGAGAGCTCCCCTATCCCGTGTGAGTGACCAAAAGCGACACTTGAGGAATGCGTTAGTTCCTGGCAAGAACTTGTTGTTAGACGTCCTTGGGGGCAAAGCATTAGGCTTGGATGCAGAGGAATGGTCTTCTGCGCTCTGGGAATACTACAAGTCTTCTACTGGAGGCACCGCCTCTGGCCAGGTATGCAATGCGATCAACGACGACGAAGACCTTTGGGACGAAGTGATTCAGTCAACCTTGCCAGAGACTTCCGGTCAGGTTGTGATGCAAACCGGCGTGTGGTGGACTTCCCGCCGTTTTTGTGCCATGGCATGGATGGCGCTAGCAGTTGTGCTTTTCTGTTTCGCAGGAGGAGAATGGTCCGCTCGAACGAAGGTGGCTTTCGGAGGCAGTGCAAGTGTCTGCCTTGTTTTGGCAGATTTGTGGCGGCGCTTCGGCTGGGAGTATGCATGGATATGTACAGATAAGCAGCTGGAGATAACGTCACCTGCAGTGCCAGCTGCGGCCCATCAAGCCATGCGGGCGAGCGACGATCCTGTTTCCGAAGCTTCTGCGTCAGCTGATTTGAAGCTCGAGAACGAACGCTTGCGAAAAATGGTGGAGGACTTGCGAGCGCAGGGGACGGAATCAGGAATCCCGCCACCTCCGCCGCCGGGCGCACCGCCGTTTCCTTCGAGCCACGCGGAACCTGTGTCACAGAACAACGCCGTGATGACTGCTTTCCGTGCGCACAAGACAGCAACGTGGATGGTCCGCTTTCGTTGACAGCAGTTCAGCAAGCGTCACAGCCCAACAATCCGGAGATGGCATCGAAGATTTTTTCACCCACGCTGGCGATTGAGTTCCCGCAAGGTGCAGCCGTGCGGTTCACAGAAGATGCCGTGCCTTCCTCATTGCGGGGTCTGCGAGGCGAAATCCTTGAACGCATGACGGATGGAACTGCTCGTGTGCGGTTGGATGGTGGAGCAATCGTTCATTCAGTTCGCGATGCATTTCTTCTTCCAGACATGCGCCAGGGACCGCAACCAGCTTCATCCGATCGACAACATTACGTGAACCCCTTGTTGGACGACACGCAGTTGAAAGCACAGGCTTCCAAAGTGCATAATGCTTTGGAATCATGGTCAAAGCAGTCGTCCAGCGTGCCACATTGGCCGCGACTGTTTTGGGAAGGCGTGGTGCAAATGCAGAGCAACGAGCCACTTCATCGAGATTTGCTGCGTGTACTGCAAGCTCACGGTTATGTGGGAGATGCGACGATATCTGCGCCGCGGACGGATGCTTTGTTGAAGCAGTTGAAAGATCTTGGGACTCCCGCGCCGACTGCCGGGTCAGCCGTCGAGTTTTTCTGAGGGCAAAGGATCACGCCAACAGCTGCTGGACTTGGTGACATTTCAAGCTGGCACAGCAAGCTTCCAAGTGATCATCAGTACGCAGGGCCGGAAATATACAGGTCAGTACTGGCATCGGGCGTGCGGTGTATGCGGGACTACGTGAACCAGTTTTTCCCAATCGATGCTCGCGCGCACAGCAATGAGTACCTTGATTTATTTACACAAGCATCCACCATCGATTTCGCGTTGGCCAAAGCAGCTTCAGATGACGAAATTTTGGAAACCCTGGGAACCAATGACCAGCTAGAGATTTCACTCCGACGAATTGCTGCGTACGTTCACAAGAAAAGAACTGGCGATGCGGATGCCGCAATGCGCATTCTGGCAGTGCAGCCCCCCGGGTCAGGCACTGACATTGCCCCTCATTGGCTTGTTACCGAGGCATCGGCTTACAGTCAAGCCGAATACAAGCGACGTGAAAGGGCAAGAGCTCAAAAGGGGCCTGGCGCGAAAGGGGCTGACAAAGGAGCTGGAAAAGGCAAGGGCCGGGGTGGCGCAAAAAGCCACCCGAAGGCTAAAGCAGACAAAGTCCCACATGTGCCGGGTTGACTCCCGGCACCGGCCCAGCAGCCACATCGGGCACCCTACAAGCCTGCTGGGCCCACTCGAACATGGGTGCCCATATCGAGTGCAACAGAGGACGGAGCTTGTCGCACATTCCCGGCGGCTGATGTGTGGACACAATTCTATGATCAACAACCGTCCCTGCAAAGGTTGACACCGTTGCCGGTCCCACCGAGACCGGTCAAGAGTGACAGCACTTCCTCACGCATCAGACGCCGCCATCAAAAACGCATGGAGGTGTGGAAGATTGCTGTCAAAATGATTGCAGTTGCGAATGGCTTAGATGATGGCAAACCTCTTGCAGACCGCACGCCATCGCTGGCCAAGACTCCTTCGAGTGATCAACACAGGCCAGCGGTCAAGCAAGCAGTAGCTACGATTCTCTCCGAGGCTGCTCGCTTTGCTAAGGCGCGCCGGTGCTTAGGCACGACAGGCGCCCACGGGGCTCCTCAAGAGCCCTTTTCGGCAGCAACGCAGCTGGTAAAATTTGCACAAGCTGATGGTGGGTATGTCAGAATGAAGAAGAACAGAGTCAATCAAGTACCCATCGTGGCCAATTCGATTGATGAGCCCAAAACAAACCATGTAGTTCCTATGCTTCAAGCTCTGCCACCGCAAGAGGCTGAACATTATGCTTTGGAGACGAATGTAGTTGACACCGCAGGAAAGTCCAGCATCATTTTTCGCGAGATTTCGGAGCAGTACGGTTTCATTGGAGGGTCCATGGAAGAATTTGTGTCGTATTTCCAACGGCCAGACTTGCCTAAACAAATGTGGCGCTGGGCGCCCTGGGCGAGCTGTCGCGCGGTAGCAGGTTTCACCGTTGTGCCGAAGAAGGACCCATCCAAACTCCGAAAACTGCTGATGTGCTGCCCCGCCAACTACATGTTCGAAGATCCGCGGTACAGAGCTGAATTAGGCATGGGAGGAGGCGGAGCAATCACCAGGATCCATATTCCTTCGGACAACTTGGCATGCTCCGCATGTGATGAAAGTAATGCTTTCACGTATGTCCTCACACCGGAGTGGTTATGGCCATGGTTTTCTACTCCACCGATTCGGGCATTCCACGTGTGGGACTGCCTCCCAGACGATTTTCGATCCCAGATTGATGTAACAACTTTGGTTTCTGCGCAGTACATGCGGCTTCCAATGGGCTGTACTCATTCGGTGCACATTCTGATGTTGATCAATCTGCGCTACATTGGAATCACTTTGCTTGCATCACAACACTTGAATGTGAACCGTGCAAACCGTCAACGGGCAGAGGGTTTGGCTCATTTGCATGCGGCTCCAACGCACGGCGATGCTGATGCCACGTGCCTTGCGACGGCAGCAGGCAGGGATTCCGAATGCTCGCCGGAAGAGTGGATTGAGATACTGCGGAGTGCACGATCTTCCTCATTCCGAGTGTTAGTAGTCTTGTTATGCTTCATGGGTGATCGACGTCATGGTGACATCTGTGATTGGCTGGAAACCATGGCGCAAGCGCAAGGCCTCACTCTGCTGGTGATCTCCGCCGATGTGGCCATTGACAGCAGGTGGGATTTCACGAACCCAGCTCTTGTGCACAAGTTTCTTGTGGCGGCTCATGAAGGATTGATTGACGTGATTGGGGGCAGTCCTCCGAGCGGTACTTTGAGCGATACAAGAGTCAATGATTCTGTGACAGGGCTTCGATTCTTGCGGAGCCGGGAACGCTTTTGGGGATGTCCAGGTCTCAATTCTGCAGAGCAAACACAGATCAGAAGAACGAATGCTTTGTTTGTGAATTTTCTGGCAATGGCTGAAGCTGTGTGTGCAGCTGGCGGAAGGTTTTTCCTTGCTCATGCGGATGATCCAGGTGAGGCTCCGCATCCAAGTTTGTTTGTCACCGCCGAAATGCTGGAGTTTGAAGGTCGTGTTGGAGCGATGCGAGCACATCATCATCAATGCGCTTTCGGAGGTGCGGACATGAGCCCCACATGCATTTCGACAAATTGTTCCCAGGGGTTTCGCTTGGAGGGTTTATGGTGCCCAGGGCATCTCGAACATAGTTCCGAATGTCAGCGTTATCAACGCAAGTATGTTTCCGAATATGCGTATGCCATTGCCGACATGGTGTTTCATGAGCTTCGCTATCTTGCACACAACGAAATTGGTCCTACGAGTTCTGCGCAAAGTAGCCACTTAGCCAAGAAGGTTTCATGTTATGGGTCACGAATGGGGTCCGCTACATCACCAGCTATTTCCATTCTGAACGAGGATATCTGTTTGGGGAGGCATGTACATATACACGATCACCAAGGGGCGGTCTATCTTCATGTGGATGATGCAGTGACCATATCAACAGGAACCAGTTCGGACATTCATGCCGATCGTGTGATGCATTTTCTGGCAGAGGGGCTGGAAGATGCAGGCTTTATTGTGCCCGAGCGTGTGCAGGCCGCAGACGTCCAGAAGGTCGTGGGTTACCAGCCCGTAGCGAGGCCAGCTCGATTCAAACTGCCAGATCACAAATGGGCGCTGCTCGCTGATGCCTTGAAGGAGCTGGCAGTGCCAGTTTGGATAGATGTGGAGGTGTTGCGAGCTGTGCTTGGGGTGTGGGTGTTTGCTGCTTTGCTAAACAGAGATTTGCTGAGCATACCGCACGCAGTTTATCGGATGTTGGATGCCCACCCAAATGAGACTATTCGGTGGTGGCCCAGTGCCAGGCGAGAAGTCCTGGCAATGAGCTACGCAGCACCGTGGTTGTTCTATGACGCCGGAGCGCCATTAGCTACCACAATTTTTGCTACCGATGCAATGGGAAACAGCGAAGTTGATGCAGGCGGTTATGGGATCACAGTTCGTGATGTTTCAAGGGCGGCAATCGAACAAATTTTAGAGTATGGGGAATCGCAGGGCCGTTCTGTGTCTCGCCTTTCTGGAGATTTCACGGGTTTGAAGTTCCCCGAGCGGCCGATTAAAGCTTCCAAGCCTTTTTCACTACTACCGAATGAAATATTCCAAAACGAGGGAAAGGCTAGGTGGCTTCCAATGGCTTGGGGACGCTGGAAAACAGTGGATCACATCACGCTTGGCGAAGCCAGAGCTGTCGTGAGATTGGCCCGACTGCTTAGTGTGAGACCGTCTGCGCACAGGCACTTTGTTATTAGCTTACAAGACAATCAACCGTGCGCTTGGTCGCACGCAAAGGGGCGATCAACGTCGTGGCCACTCAATCGCTTGTGGCGGATGAAAACATCATCACTTCTAGTGTCAGCTATTCGGCTCTTTTTACCATGGGTGGAGTCGGCAATGATGCCGGCAGACATGCTCTCAAGACAACATGAGTATATTCCAAGGCAAAAGTTGTTGCGGCCCCCGCAGGCTTGATCGTCATCAGGCCGCCAGGGTCAGCACCAAGACTTTATCAACTTATCAGCGACATGCTGCAGTTTTTGTTCAATGGTTGGATGAAGCCCGGTATTCACCTTCAAAACAAGAGGAGTTTGATGATTTGTTGGTGGAGTGGAAAGAGGCATGCAGCATTGGCAAATCACGTTTTGTCACGACCATGTGTGCTGTTGAGTTTTTCTTCCCTCGCTTCAAACCTCTAGTTTGGGCGCGTGCAGTCGCAGAAGGCTATGAACGTGCACGTCCCATCAATCACAAAGTGCCTATGTTGTCCGAACCTGCAAAACTGTGGGCGGCATACTTGGTGAACATGGGTTTTCCGCGAATGGGCCTGGGATTGATTTTGCAACAAACGTGTGGCCTCCGGCCCTCCGAGCTGTTGGCATTAACATCCTCGTCTATTTTGCTGCCTTACAGAGCATCGGACAACACTGTCATCAGACTCGGTACAGCTGTTGGAACCAAAGCAAAGCGAGAACAGTTTGCGCTATTGTATCCACATAAACATGCTGAAATGATCGAGCTGATGAGACGCCTAGTCGCATGCACAAGGCGTGGTGAGAAGCTATTTCCCTACAGTTATGCTTTTTACTTGCGATGTTTCAAGCAGGTGGAGCGCGATCTAGGGGTAGTGATTGGGTACACTCCTCATTCTCCTCGTGCCGGGTTCGCCAGCGAGCGGATTGCTGCAGGCGAGGACCCTACAGTGGTACGGCGGGAGGGGCGTTGGGCGAGCGAGACTTCGTTCAAAGTATACATTGACCCAATCACAGCAGCACAGGTTGGCACGGCCATGCGATTACAACATTTATCGGACGCGATGGTGTATGTCAGTGCTCACCTGCTCCTTTATTTCCCTGTGCATGCTTTGCTAGCTGAGGCGCATGGAAACCGCTCCGGTGCCGAAGCGCGCCCCCGTGGCGAGCTCCGTGCACCCTACCAATGGCCGACGACTTGGCAGGAAGCGGAGTCTGACTCCAGGGCCGGCGGTATCTCCTGCGACAAAACCGAGGTGGAGCGCGGCAGTTCTCAGGCCCCCGAGCCCCGAGCCATCAGGTCAGCCAGTTCTGCCAAGGGCCGGGGCCGCGGACCAAAACCCCCGCCCAAGCGGTCCCGGCCGCAGGCGCCGTAGTGCCGCTTCGCGATGGTTAAAGTGGCCCCGTTTGCCTCGAATGTTTTGGGGCCGAATGACAAGTTTCTTGGCCCTGATGTTTCTGTTTGGCAACCATGGCGCAATACACCATCTCGTCAACATTCTGGGCTCTGCAGCTTTGGTTTCAGAGGCAGTGGGCCAAGCGGCGGCCACTGTTGTATCCAAAGGGACGGAGCTAACGACAGTGTTGTCCTCAGCGGCCGTCGGCGTGACCACTACTACATTGACTGCTGCGGAGGCTGCGTGGCGGGGTGTGGATCTCATTGATGTCCATGCCCATCGAGTGCATGGGCGAGTGGCAGCCGCCCGCCATGAGACACTGGCAGGTTGGCTGGTCTCGCCCGAGGGGCGAGCTGCTACGCGTTTGAACCGCTCGGCAATGCTGCAGCAGTGGCACCAAAATGTATTCCACATCAGCGCTGACATGCCTTTTCTGACTTTGCACGACTACGAGGTGCGTCTGAACGGCAGTTTCGCAAGTTATCAGACTAACCTTTTGCTGCATTCATCGGGCATGCTCGTCATGGAGTTTGAAACGTTCACGGTTGATTTCGTGCCTCAATGGGCCAATCCAGTGTGGGAACTTATGGCCATGAACTTGGAAGCAGAGCATGACCAAATTCTGGAAACTTTGCATCAAGTTCTTGCGCACATTCCGGCCGTGAATGTCTCCTGGGATCTTTTCCCCGAAAAAGCCGCTCCTTTGAGTACCTGGCATCGCTGGTGGACGACTTGCAATTCTTTCGTGCTGCAGCATTGGCCGATTGCTTGGTACTTTTTCCACAAGTTTTGTGACCTTCGGGGATATGGGTGTTTCGGGTTCATGGTCATGGTCCTTTCATTTGCAGCGTGGATGTTTCGAAGCGCTTTTACACGAGCTGCTTGATTACGCAACTGCTGAGCGGAGTTCGGGGCACGAGTGGATGTGGGTCATTTCTTTGAAGGCTGCAGCTTCCCGTGCAGAGGGGGCTATGTGCAACAGCTCTCCGCCCCGTCTGGGAGCTTCAGCTGCCGATGAAAGTATCACGACTCTTATGTCTTCGGATAGACTCAGCGGTTTGCAGAAAGGAGTGGTTCACTTGCATGCAACATTGTTGTGAGCTGCTCGCTTGATGATCATGAACCGGAAAACGCCCAAAATTGATTCCATGATCGCGGTCGCACTCGTGAGTTCCTTTTCTGAGGCGGGCTTATACTAGTAAGATGCTGGGAACGTAGTGGACAAAATTGTCCTTTGCGATGCAACGTAGCTTTTGCTGAGAGACCTGTCCCGACGCAAACTGGGGATGGGGGAACTCTTGATTGTACGATTGTTGTCGGCGCCGCACTTGGAATCTCAAGGATTTCAGTCAGGCCCAGCCCCCCCACCCGGGGTCATTTCTTTGAAGGCTGCAGCTTCCCGTGCAGAGGGGGCTATGTGCAACAGCTCTCCGCCCCGTCTGGGAGCTTCAGCTGCCGATGAAAGTATCACGACTCTTATGTCTTCGGATAGACTCAGCGGTTTGCAGAAAGGAGTGGTTCACTTGCATGCAACATTGTTGTGAGCTGCTCGCTTGATGATCATGAACCGGAAAACGCCCAAAATTGATTCCATGATCGCGGTCGCACTCGTGAGTTCCTTTTCTGAGGCGGGCTTATACTAGTAAGATGCTGGGAACGTAGTGGACAAAAGGACGTTCTGGCGGCCGCGGCAGCGCGTGCGGCGCTGTGGCCCGTTTGCTGAGCGAGCTGGTTTTCGAGTTGGTTTTTACGGTCAAGTGGGATCGCCCTTACGAAAAGCGTCGCTGTGGCCCGGCCTTGGCACGACTTCCGTCAACAGCTTCCTAAGGCGCGCGCCAAAACGCGCAGAGGGTTCTGTTGCTGAGTAACACAGGAACAATGACAACTGCGAGCACAACTTCGCCTTTTGGCGCAAGGCAGCATTGCGCATGCGTTTTTTCTCAGCCCTCGCCTAAACATGATCGAATCATGTAGTCGTTTCATGAAAGCACGAATCACTGGCCAAAGACATTCCATTAGGCGGCTGCATGCAACATACAACGAACCTTCCAGCCACGCGACCACTTGCCCTCGATGCAAAGAAAGAAATGCCACGCCGGAAGCCCCGCCATGAAGCGCCATGCGCGAGGCAAAGGCCTCTTTGCTCGACAGTTGTGATGCTTTTGTTGCGTTTCAACAGTGTGTCTGATGCCTGCATAAATACACCGGAAGTAGCCGCAGGTGGATCCTCGCGTGGTTGCTGGTCTGCTCCAGTCACGGATCGATGCAAAGCCCGGAACCTTCTGCACTGAGCCCTGCCTATTCTCAACCTGTCATTCCATGGCACGCTATGCCGTGGATCGATGGGACGTTTAGGTCAACATGCTAGATTCCTGAGCTGAGCCCGGGCCGTCTATGCACGGTTTGCCCTCCATGGAAGAGAGCAGTTGGCATCGGCCTGTGCAAGTTGCCTCGGCGGCAGCCCGCCTAGGAAGGGGTCATGGGTTCTGACAGATTGGCGTTTTGCGAGTCCCTCCTGCGAAGGTTCGTCCGGCTGCGTGCCGCGCGTGCGCCGCCCGCGGTCCGGGGAGCCGCCGCGCAAGGCTGGGCCAGCCGGTGGTGGGGCGTCCTCGCAGTGGCCGTGCAACGCGCCGTCTGCAGCGCCGTCTTGGGAAGGTGGACGATGCCTGCCCTCCCGATGGCTGAGGCCCCTGTCCCGCTGGCGGACATCCTGGCGCAGGCCCCAGAAGCGCCGCCCAGTAGGTTGGGGATGCGGTGAGCCGGCCCTTCACCCCTACCCCCCGCCCCTACGACGGACGGCATCGACCTTGCGCGCGGAAAAAGGTGCGAGGAAAAAAAAGAAAGATTGGCGTTCCTCTTCGTTTCGTTTCGGCTGGGCCTTCCGCTCGTCTCCCCAACTCCAGACGGGGTTTTGATGCTCATGCTTGCTCACAAGTAATGACGAGGAGTTGTGTTCATCGGAGGCCAATGTGCATTCGGTTGATGATGTTCTAGTGAGGGATGCAGCTTGTGTAGAATGCCCACATGAGCCTTTGGTCGGCGAAGCTACACGGCTCTGGCCCTTTTCTGCCTAAACGCTAAGCGTGACAGGATTCCATGTTTCCACCGGTGCACCTGCCACGAGGTTTCCTATGCTCTGCAGACTTGATCGCAAGGCCGGACTCCATCAGACTCGACTTAGTGGCCTGGGCAAGATGTGTGAAATTGCCAAGTATCAATGCCCTCAGTCCGCAAGTAGCAAGAAATACATTTGGAAGGCCAGGCAGCGGGACATAGTGACAGAAATACGGGGGTTGGGAAAGCCTGATTGTTGGGCCGTTGAACCTGCCACTTGCATTTGTTGGGATGGCCGTCGTTGCAAGTACACCGACGGATGCGTTGAGACGGATGTAGCATGATTTTTGCCACCTGCACCTCTTACATCTCTTGGCTCTGACGCCGAGAGTGGGCTCGCAATCAAACAGGTTTCATTGTAGGACAGATATCAGGGCAAGACTTCGTGACACTCACCCGCGACGACTTTTCTGAAGTGTCTTTTTCTGCGGCAAATGCAGCTGCAGACGACTGCTACTACTTCTATTTCTACTTCTACTAGGTGTATGGGGTCAATGGTAATTACTTACATATCATTCCTTCCATGTTAAAATTTCACGAGCAATGCTATGCGCAAGACATGGCACAACATCCTACAACAACATCACTTCCGTTAGTTCTCCCAGAAACAGCTCACACATCTTCTCAAGCACGACCATCCTTACATTGGTTCCGTCGTTATGAGGGCGCGCCCGGCGCGTTTACAGGCGAAGGTGGCCTGTTCAAGCAATTGTTCGTCAAGTGTCAGTTCCCATGGCACTTTGCCAATTCAATTGAGAAGCGCTCGCAATGTGCTTGTCCGTAGGCGTTTCTTGCCAACAGCGCACTGTCAATGCACAGTTTGCGGAACATGCTGCGTCGTTCCTTTGCCTGTGTCTGTGCCGCGGCGGCGCTCGTGAAGTTCCACGCGTTCGTTGGGATAAAGAAACATGGCAAGCGCAATTACAAGCTGCAAAGCCCTAAAGATGCTTACAGCGACAGATTTGTGACGATGGCGCAAGATTTGCTCATGGCAAGCGGCTATGATGAGAACGTTACACGAGTTGCCCTGACCCTGGCCCTTGCAGAGAAAGAGAATGAGATTCGAGAAGCCCTGGAGGAGGCTGCTACTAAACACAGGTTGCTCCAGCTCAAGTATTTGTCAGTGAGTTCAAGGTTTTGGTTGGAGACTTTGTTCAAAGATTTTTGGGCATTTGCGCGAGCAACGCATGTATCATTCGGCCTAGACACGACATACAGCGGCATCAGCAGACATTTGGCGAACAACCCGGAGGTGTGGCAAGCTTTTGCTGCCCACGAAAACATGTCACTGGTGTTCCCTTTCAATGAGTCGTTTCCAGAAGTCTCCCGTTCATTGTTGTATGGTAGGCTGAGCGACCAAGTGCACGAGCCACCAGGCTCGGTTGTGCTTCGCTTGTGGTATGATACTGAATACACCGGCGAGGTGTACTTGCTTCGCTATAGTCGGAAGTTGCGCATTATCACCGGGCCACAAGAGCTAAGCCGAGCATGGGCTGACTTGATGAAGCCAGACAGGCGTCCGTGAGCGTTGCGGGATTGCCCGAGAGCGTTCCTGTGCAGATGAACCTGCCGAAAAAGGCAGCTGTTGGAGGGAAAGTGGGCGCTGCGTTTCTTGATAGGTGTTTGTTGGGTAGTTTTCATTCTTTCAGCCGAGATTGGAAGGGAACGGCACCTCGGGCAGCGTGTCATACACAAAGCAGTTGTAGCCAGGCACTCAAGCAGAGCTCTAACAAGCAGAGGTTTTGCCAATGGAATTCGTGTGCAGCTCAAGCGGATGTTCATTTCAGTTTTGTGCTTTTGGTTGAGGCAGATGTTGTCGACGAGTAACCCTAGCCGTTTCAAACCCCATTAGGGTACAGCCGAGGTCTTGCCAGAATCCATTCAGCGTACGCACGAAACCCACCCGGGCTGACCGCGGTTTTTTAGTGGTGACATCGCCATTGGGTTCCATGCCGGCAAAGGGGCTCACCCAAACCCCAACAGTGTTCACCCGTGTTCGCAGGGTGCAACGTTCAGTTTTCCCAGTACAAGCAAATTGTTGTTTGGTGCCTTCTCTCTCCACATCAGCTGGGAGCGCAGATGTCATGGTTTACGTCGCTTAGCCTTGTTTTCGTGGAATGGCTATTGCTGCAAGCACTGACTTGCAATTGAGCTTCATGAAGAATCAAACCGTCATCATCCACTTCATCTACTGTCCATGAGTTTCCCCTATGTCTCCGTCCTTGAGAGCAAGCGCTCAAGATAGCTATTTGCTCCGGCAACAAAACGGACTCGCGGCTGCTTCGTTTGAGTTCAACTTGGGGAGGTTTCCAAGTGTTTGTGTTCAAGCAAGGGAGCTTCTAAAGTTTCGCCAAGACAAGTGTAGACTCATGGGCCTGACTGCTGCAACGCAGCGTGGATAAGTATGTTGCGTTTGCCTTGCTTGCTCACATGAATGAAGACTACAACTGTCAGCCCACAGATGTGATGCACTAGTATCATTCCCGCATGCAAGCTTCTTCTGGCCATAGACGTTCGCGGAACGCAGACGGAGAGCCAGGAACGGTCCGGTGGATTCAGTAGATCCAAGATGCCAGGACTTCAAACCCTCTTAGCGAGGCTCTGAGGCATCTTCAAGATTATAGGAAGTTGTTTGGAATGCCACCCGCGCAGCAGCAAGACCGCATTCCAGCTCCACTCCAATCAATCAGTCAACCAATCGATCGGCTTGTCTATCCGCGACCTTAACTAGCCGTATATCTATCTCCGTATCTACGTATGTATGCATGCATGTCATGTATGTATGTACGTTTGTTTGTATGGATCTATATGTATCTATCCGTAGCTCTCTCTGTTACTCTATTCTTGTTTTTGCTGACGCCGTGGGTAGCGGCCCTGGGTAAAGCGTTAGTTTTGGCACTTCTTGGTGACTTGTTCCGGTTGTCTTGTTGGGGTGGGGAGGGTTGGGGGGGGGGGGGGGGGGGGATAAGAATGTGTTCATATTGCGCCCATGCACAAAACACTGGTATTTACAGCTTTTCGCTTCTTTGTACAACGTACTGCAGAAGGATGTGGAACAAGAAAATCTGTCACAAGCGTCCATGCCTTTCGCGACCAAAACCGTGCTTTCCGTGCTTAACGTCTCTGCGCAACCCCAAAGCCCTAAACTTGAACCACTGCAAGCCCGTTGCACCCTGAACACTCCAGCCCTCCAAAAACATGCGAAAACACTGGCGGGCATGGCACTTTTCAAGATAAGACCACATTGCAGTTACCTCGTTCGACCCTGAACAGTGACAAAACACAAAACCCAAAAACACGCAAAAGTCGCAAAAGTCGCAAAAACGCATCCCCAGAGTAAGCACTGCGAAATGCTGAAAGCACTGGCAGGCGTGGTACTTTTGAGCAACACACCACCTTATAATCACTCCAAGTCCTGAAAAATAGCTTCCGCCGACAAACCCTTTTTTTCTCGAACACTGCCCTGCGTGAGTTAAAACCACATTTCCGCGCGCAAACGGTCCAGGGCCGCTGTTAGCGGCGTGACCTTGTTTTTCCCCACCTTCGGTGTGGGGTTGTTAGATTTGAAGCTCAACTCTTCTCCTCGCCCGGAACTCTTCTCCTCGCCCGGTCTACTCCTAGAGACTCCCGTGCCCAACCCCAGACACTCCCTGGTGCCCAACCCAGAGACTCCCTGGAGTGCCCAACCCAAAGACTCCTGGAGTGCCCAACCCAGAGTCTCCCTGGCTGGGGTACCCAAGCCAAAGTCTCCTGCGCCCCACAATTCTAGCCTCCTTTTTGCTGCGCCACTGCCGTGTTTTGCAGTTGACGTACAGTCGATTCACGGTATGGCTGTGGAAAAAAGCAATTCTAGGAAACACTTTAACTATACCAAACCTCACAGTAATGTACCGAGCCTTAATGTTTTCAAATGGGTTGTCCGAGTGTTCTTCATCTTGCGGGCTGAACCGTGGTTAAGGGTTGGGATTTCGAATAGGGTTCCTGCGATGAGGATAGCGCGTCATGTGCGTATACTTACACTAGCCACAAGGATACCATATCTATGATGACCAGACAATACCCCATATGGCCATACAGAAACTCACATTGGGAGACCACCATGGCGATGAAGTCTGGGAAGTTCATGTCCTTTCCACTTCCAAGAAGAAAATAGATCCTCCACATGAGGATGATTTTTCTGTCGTGCAATTTGGCACCATGGCTTCCTCAAATATTAATTTAGCCATTGACCAGCATTAAACCATCTACAGATGTACAGGTTGTCAATCATCTTCTACAAAAGTAAACATGACTTCAACTGTGTGAGAACCGTCAGAACATGGTCACTAAGAGGAATGCCCATGTTCGAATCGTTGGTTGGCTGCGCGGTTTGACACAGATGGGTAAACGCTTAGTTGAGTGTTGAGCCATGCTGCAGTGTCTTTGGCGCAATTCACATTATTACCTAAAGTAAAGTTTTTTCAACATGATTCTGACATTTAATTACCAGTTGACATGATTTGCCATGATGATAATGTTAGTGAATGGCTCGCCTATGCTCTCCTCATACCACCCTGACCATATACCAAGAAGTTTTGGGACAAGTTGCGGTATCATACAAAACGGTTCGTGTGGTTCACCTTTCTTCGCGATTGTATCCTAATGCCATGACGCTGCTGGTCATGGCCTTGCTCTCCTTTGCCACAGCGAAGTTTGAGGAGGAAACGACTGCCATGTTGCAGCTCGCGAGTCCTACACAGCTCTTGTGCAGTTGTGAACAATGTCCCAGCGTGGCAGAAGCCAAGAGCATCATGATCAACAGTTGTAAGAATGAGCCGCAGCAATTGGTTTGCACTCATGGTGTGGAGGCTGCCTTTGCAGGTAGTGCCTTGGATAAGACCTTTGACGTGAAGACGTGTCAAGTCCTAGAAGTGGTCTTTCGCCACCTGGGCCTCCTGTCCATCCCTTTCTATCCGCGGAGACGCGGCAACATCGGCAACAGTGACCAGAGCGGAGACGGTGAGCGGTCCGAGCCGTCCAAGCCGTCCGAGGTGTCCGAGCCGTGCCCATGCGGTGTCACCATCAACGGGGACAACAACAGCATTCGCATCGACAACAGCAACACTGGCAACACCGTGGGTGGCAATATGGGACCAAGTGACAGTGGCAATACGTATAACGTTGGCAGTGGCAACCTGATCCCTTCCTCCAATGAGCTGGTCATCATCCCTGTTGGTAGCGGCAACGTCGTGATTACTCCCGTCGGCAGCGGAAACATCGTGATTACCCCCATTGGCAGCGGCAACTTCGTCAGTGTTCCTTCCGGAAGTGCCACCGTCGACATTGTTCCCACTGGAAGTGGCAACAGAACCACCGTCGTGGGGAAGAAGTTTTTCGTCCCCATTGGCGCTGACATCATCCTCAACAACACTTCGATTGAGAGTACGACTGAGGCCCCTAGTACTGCGGCCCCTGGTCCATGAGACTGTGTAATGCCTATGCAGGTAGGCGCGACGTAGGCCTCGGATGTCCCTTGTTTGTTCGTAGTGCTGCCTCGAGCGAGTTGGCCCTTCCCTTATCTTGGCTGGCTCCGACCTCACAAGCAGGTGTCTGTAGCTTGCCATGCAGTTTTGGCTTCGCAGACTTCTGTCCTCCCTCACAAGTAGGCGAGTTGAATTGCGAGGTACATGCCAGAGGCTGAAAAGGCGCGGGTGGATGACTTGTTCTCAGGTTCTACTTAGGGCCGGTCTTAGCAAATCGGGTTTAAGACAAACTGAGCAGTGGTGAAATCTCCTCCAATCAACTGCCGTTCAACGGAAGTCCGAATGGTGGTTTCCATAAATAGTGCCTTCCCCAGTCATCATCAAAAAACTATTGATTTTGGTGTCGGAAACCCACTAGGTGGCCAGCCAAACGAGGAGTACGTCTCTCCGTTTGGACGTATGCTCTCAGCACTTATCTCTGTAAGGGCACTGCACGTACTCGGACTGTCTGAAATTATGCAAAATTTTCTAAATACTTGAATGTTCCTTCGCTATAATCATAGAACCTCAAAGCTAATTGTAAACGCTTGCGCGCGCTGCCTCGGCAGCCAGGCCGGCCGAGAGCATGCAGTATGTGGAGATGAAAAGGTTCTCAGGGCGGTCCCAGGGGCTCCGACAAGAATCTGAGTGGGCTGGAGGCCATTTTTGAGGGGCTCCCTTTGTGTACAGGGCACAGGGGTCCCAGGCGGGGTTTCAGGGGTCCTATAGGGAAGTTAATCAAGCAGGGGTGAAGGCCCATTTCGTGCATTTTGAAGCGCTCCCTTGTAGGAGCCGCCGACAGGCGGGACCCTCCACGGCATCGGTTTGCAGCTGCTCCAAGCGATTGGGGGGGGGATCCGGGTCTGCTTGTTCCAGACGCTTCTCGGCAGGAAGCCGAGGCGAATTGGCGGACGACAAGTCTGGCTAGTCCTTGAACCTCGGAATCGAAGCCAGTGGACCAAAGTGAGCACTCGCCTGTATCAGTTCTTTCTCTCGCTCGTTCTGTACGCTTTTGCTCGGGGCGTCGCTGGTGAATTAGGTGTTGCCTGTTTGCATGTTCAGTAGGAGCATCTTGGGTTGGCCGCATGTCGCCGCCGTTTGTGGCTGCAGACGGCAAAGCCACGGTAGTCAAGTGTCGTGCACGCTCATTCGTTCCTTCAAACGCATTTACATACACATATGTTTCAAATATTTTCAAGTCGTTTGCCCATTGCAAAGCAGCACGGTCGAATCGTCCTGGCCAATTTGCCATGGACGAGGCCTTCGCATGGCAGCTGCAAGATTGTTCGCACAGTTCGGAGTTGACGAGGACGAGCCGGCAGAAGTAGCGCGCTCTGCAACAGCAGAAATTTTCGAACCGGTCATCCAGGCCGGCCGAGCTTGTGAATTGCGAACATGCATGTGCAAGTGGAGGGAACGTTGCCAAAGCAATATGCGCCTGCGTGCAAAGTGAGTCGCGGATGTTGCCAGGCCCAGGTGAAGGCAGACAAGCCAAAGGCAGGCTCTGAGTGGAACGAGCGTGTGGCACGTGGTTAAGCACCAGTTCCGCACGTTGCTCAGGAGATTTCCCCGAAGCCGACGGCGCCAAATGGGAAGCCAGGGAAGCCCCGACAGACGCAGAAGTCACAGTTGCACGTGAATTTAGTGCCGAGAGTGGAAGAAAGAGAGGGTCATTTGCCGATTAGAGGAAAGGCAGGGGTGAAATCTAAGGATGGATTGCACGGGCAGCGTTCGCACCGGGCACGCCTCATGTGATGTCTCCTACTGTAGCAAGGTCGCGTTTGGTGCGACATTCCTATGGGGGGGGGGGGGCCCAACAACCTGCCTTGATGATCAGACGTGGAAGAACCAAGACAATTACCAACTCATCCAATCAGGCAAACGATTTGTCGTTCCAAGTTCGTTGAGCTATCGCCTCAACAGTCGCACGCCAGATGTTTGGAGATGCCGCCCTGCATCATTAAAAAAAACTCCTAGTTCTAGAGTTGTCATCATCATCATCATCATCATCATCATCGAAGATGGCCTGGCATACTGCGACTGTTCGAATGTGGGGCTGTAGGATGTAAGAATAGCTATTCCGAACCAATCGAGCGCAACTCAATTATTTGCAGCATGTGAAGCTTACGCACCTCGACATGTTCTCGTTTGCGCAGATTGGAGCTGTTGAGCAAAGGGACAGCACATCATTTCGTTTGACCGGGGTGAGGTCGACCTTGTCCGACGGGCGAGGAGGCTCTCGACCGCAGGTCCGCGAAGATGTGAGAATGGAACAATTTGGAACAGTGCTCTGAAACACTTTGGAACACATTTGGAACCCAGAGAGGACTCAGCTTGTTCAGGACAGGGACGCCGCTTCTCGCCCGACAACTGCCCCGAGCAAAAGTTCTTCAAAGGTGCCATGAGTTATCGTGAACGCAATGGGGCCTGGACAGAATGCATGCGCGTGCTGTGGCAATTGAAGGCCAGCCGAAGCCCACAAGAAAAGTCTCGTTGGGCACAGGGCCCCAGGTGCACCATGTCAGGCCAGAAAAGTCTGACACCAGCACGCAGAAGAATTTGAGAGGTGACCAAAACCAAAGTTCGATGGTGTTACAGTTTCGCATGCCCAGGTCGCGCCCGATTTTGCCTCGGTGTCCATGTTGTCGTTCAGAGCTTAGAATCCAAAAACCCGGTCGAGATACCGCCGCTGGTCATGCTTACTGATGTGCATATTCAGTCATGTGCATGATGCAAGGCCACGAAACCTGGAGGATCGTTGGATGCACCTTGCTTTCCCTTCGGATGCCGGCTTGTCCCTCCTTCGCCAGGATGCGCTCGCTGAGCGCGCTTTTGCCGAACAGCCGTCACGCCAGTGCATTGGGCTGAGTGAGGCCGTGGCCAGGGGCCAAGCTTCCCTTTGTTTGGGGTTACGTTCAAGGAGTAGGATCGCGGACGGTAACATGATGTGTCCAGAATACTTGCTTGTAACTCGGGCCTCCAGGTACGTGATGTGGTGAGTGTGACTGTGCGGGACATCGTCGGCATTTTTGAGTCGCTTCTCGACCGCTTGCTGACCGAGAAGAAGATGGACCCGCCTTATATAGAGTCTGAGAAGAAAAGTAAGTGACTAGTGACTACGTATAGGTGGCCTGTCTTCCTGCCCTGTGAGCTGCATCGAGCTGTATGTGGTTCACCAGGAGACGATTCGAAGCATGGCCGGGCGCTTGGTGAATGCTGTTTCAACAACTGTCAAGACGGAAGCAAACCTTGCTGAACTAAGAAGCTGTATGGTTAGGTGGTGGAGTTCATGACTGAAGACATCTCCGCAACCATTGCTGCCGGCCAAGAGGAGCTGAAAGAGAAGCGCACTCAGTCGGAAGGTAGTACACAGCAAAGTGAGAGCAGTTTTTGGTGGCCTTGAGCTTGAGAGACGACGTGGGTTGAGGCAAGAGATCGGCCACGTTCTGCAGGAAGGGCAACAACCAAAACATGCTGTGATCCCCATGTTCACTTCACCACTTTAAGGGCCCCCCCCAATGTCTCCGATGCCTGTTCTGTGCTTAGGACATGCGCGACCTGCGCAGCCAGGCCAGGGCTCTTCCCCGTCTTAGTGCTTCTCACTTCTCAATGCATCTCACATGATCTCATTGCGAATTTCGTTGCACCTCTCTCTACCTGGCAGGTGAACGAGACCGAGGAAGCCTGGGAGCAGCGGCCGGACACTCGTGCGTGTCCTCTCAGTGCACGTGCACACCCGGTCGCACCCATGCGGACGGAATGGGAGGTTCGAGAAAGTCAGCCAGCTCGAGAGGGCCCTCGACAGCTTCAGCGGGGATGCTGACGATCGATTTGCAAGCCTTGAGGCCTGGGATGCAAAGCTTGAGAAGTGCAGGAAGCACTTGGTGCTTGTGCAACGATCGCTGTTGTGCATGCGCCAAGGCACGCTTGCGTGAGTTGGAGAGCGCCTCAGTGCGACACGAGGAGCTCGATGAGATCAGGAAGGCTTGGCGGAGCCACCTGTTTCTGGTCAGATGCAGTATAGACTCGCATCGGCAGCACGGAATAGTGTGGAGACCTCACAAGCGCGACTTTGCGCGGCGGCGGGATAAATCTCTCGAAGCTTATGGTGGATGAAGGAAGCAAACGATTCGGAACTGGTTGCATGAGTGCGTTCTTTTCACGGCTGCGAAAAACACAAAGCCCTGAAAGGCCAGAGAAGAGTCCAGAGTCAAGCTAACGGCAATCTTCCAAATCTTGTCACCATCGGCCTTTTCGGCTTTCGTGGGTGCCGGGTGCAGGGTTCCAATGCGAAGGTCTTGTAGTTCTGTGCCCTCAGATGTCGCTGCGTTTCGGTGATGTTTTGAGTTCTTCCGACTGGGCTTTTTCTCCCATGGATGTCGCCCACTTATTACACAAGCTGCGGTGTTGTGTGTCTTTGGTTTTGGTTGTGGTCTTGCTTATTCTGGTGTCTCTGAAGGTTTGTCGTAGTTTCTGTACTCCGATATGAGTACATCTGTATCTTGCTTGCATGCTCGCTGTCGTGGTTGGCCTGGTTCGTGTTTTCGCGCGTGTGTGTTGTTTCGAGTGTCATCATTGTTGACTGCTGGTAGGGCGGGTTGCTGAACCGCTGGTGGTAATGGTTGTCGTGTAGCACCTTGGGTCGATTGATGAGGCTGTAAAACGACAAAGGAGGGGGACCTGTGCAACGTGAACTTGCAGGGGGGGAATTTTATTGGAAGTTAGCTGTGGGTTGCTGCGGCGGGAATTTTATTGGAAGTTAGCTTTGGGGCTTGCCAAGGGGGAATTTAACTGGAAGTTAGCTTTGTGGCTTGCGAAGGCGGGGAATGTTATTGGAAGTTAGATTCGGGGCTTGCTAACGGCAGGAGTTTTATTGGAAGTTAGCTTTGGGGCTTGCTAAGGGGAGATGTAGTTAGCTTGCTAAGGCGCTAAGGCGTGAATGTTATTGGAAGTTAGCTTTGGGGCTTGCTAAGGGGGGGATTTTATTGGAAGTTAGCTTTGGGGCTTGCTAAGGGGAGCAATTGATTGGAAGTTAGCTTTGTGGCTTGCTAAGGGATTTTCTTTGGGAAGTTTGCTTAGGGGCTTGCTAAGGCGGGGATTTCATTGGAAGTTAGCTTTGGGGCCTGCCGCTCTTGCAGGGGGGGGGGGGGGCTTGCTAAGGTGGAAATTAGATTGGAAGTTAGCTTTGGGGCTTGCTAAGGCGGTGAATTTTATTGGAAGTTGGCGTTGGGCTTGCAAAGGGGGGGGAATTTGTTTGGAAGTTACCAATGAAGAAACACAGACACATCGGCATAATTTCAAGACCTGTGAGAGGGGTCTTATGCTTGCGTTTTGAGCTTGAGCAGTGACTTTCTCCCGGCTTACCATCTCTTCCACACGAAATACAACTAGTAAATGATACGTCGTTGCCATGGAACTACATCTGCTGCGTGGGCCTTTTTCCCATTCTTCCCTGACTGCAAGGACATCGCTCACGACAAGGGCGAGAAGACGGATGCAATCAACGAACTCTTCTCCAAGGCATCAGCTCACATGTGAACTGGAAAAGTCGCAGCCAGCTCGCTGACAGGATGAAGAGACTCAGGCACAGTTGCAGGAGCTGCAGAACAACGTGTCCAACAGCTCTGTCCTCAACTGCTTGACTAAGTTTTGCACCGGTGCTGGAACCAGTCTTTTTTGAAGCTTGGCTTTGTTGTGCGCCAGAGGCTTAGCCACCAAGAAAGAAGTGCAGGAGGCTTCGGCTATGCCATGCTACTGTGCGGACCGATAAGCCGAACGGATTTGGACCCCATATATGAAACCGTCTGTTGCCTGTTGCTGTCTTGCGCATACTGGGCGCTCGGCTTCAGGCACACAATCAGGTCATGGAGGAGCTGCGCCAGTCGTCTGACGATGTCAACGAGACTCTGAAGGCCTTGAATGCCTGCGGATGAACTTGGCAACAGCACGCGACAACGTGTGCACAGCGTGCAGTGTGTGCATGGTTTTCCAGGAGCTGCAAAGCAACGTCGCCTGGCACACTGACGTCGAGGTACTTTGCTAGCGATTGACGGTGGCAGCATTCCTCCATATTCTCATGCTTTCGTGTTTTGCTGGCATTTCGACATTCAATATGCGCGGCCCATCGCGTCCCCATGCTGCTGCGCAGGACCTGGACATGAGGCAACGTCAGAAGATCTCTTCCGTGCAGTCTGATGTGACCAAGGCCGGCACACGTCAGCTGACCATGGGGTATGTCATGGTACGTCACCGCATCGTAGTTACCTGACCGGCAAAGGCCTTTTGTTTTCAACAAAATGCTAAGGCACACGACGGGCTCAAAGCGCCGGCCCCCAAGCAGAGCTTCGCAGACTTCCAGATTGCCTGCCAAGAAATGCAGCGGCATCGCATGGCGTGAGCTTGACGCAAGGTTTGGGGACAAGCTCGACCTTGTCCACTGCCTGATTCAGGGAGTCTCAGGGGAGCAACAGCCCGAAAATCTAAGTCGTCACCTCGCCCCGAATCTCAAGCTCCAGTCCAATCTTCCTGCTGCATTTGTCCCCCGGAGACTATACTGCTTGGACCCCAGGCGCAGCAGCAGAACCATGAGGTCTTTGCCAAAAACGTGCAGGTCAGGGGATGCACAGCTTTTCAATTGACATTGAGGACTCAAGTTGGGCACACATGAGGTCAGGGAGATGTTCTCGCAGTATGGCGAGCTCATGGAGGCTTGTACATGTTGGCCCAAAGCCTGTGCAACAACTTGTCGCGAAACGGCAGACACTTCAGACACACATATCTATGCTTGCAGATATGTATTTGCGAACATCCTTTTCGGCCGGTTGAGCTGCTTCTTTGCGGCCTCACTCCCCAGGTCGCCTTCCTCCATGTGTATATATGTACCTATCGTATGTGTGTATACGCACATATATGTGTGTGTATGCACATATGGACGTACATACGCGCATGCGTACAGACGTATATGTATTGTACATGCACACATATGTATATGTATATATATATATATGTGTATATACATATGTGTGTGTCTAGTGTATGTCTGCGCTCGTTCCTGTGACAACTGTGAAATCTACAGTGGATATCGAGCAGATAGATCTTAGCCGCATTTACATGCAGAGCTCTGCATGTCCGGGCTCATCGAGATGCAGCTAGATTTGAACTTTTGCTGGCAGGATCTGGAGAAGCGCCTTAGTGAGGAGCAGCAGAAACTGAACCAGCAGAAGGCTGCTTGAGTAACTATGTGGCCTTGTGCATGACATCCATCCGTGTTGTGCAGTTTGCTCACGCATGCCGTGTTGGAGCTTTCCGCGTCCATGCCAAGCTCCGCAGACCCTCGCTTCTAATCATTCAAATCGCCATTCCTCGGCTTCCGTGGCGGAAGGGAGGGTGCAGGGGAACCCCGAATTGCAACATGAAATTGAAATCCCCGGCCACGTTCGGTGCAAGCCTCCAAAGGGGCGGACCCCGGAAAGTGCACGGGAGAGGCCGAGACCATGTCCCATGTGCGCTTCGGATGCTGTCCGGCGTTTGTGGGCTCTCTGTGGCGCACGGCGCCTGGGCGAGGGCGAGGGGGGGACGCGGAAAGTCTGCGCACATGGGGTTCCTGCTTGCAGAGCATGTTGCAAATCGAGTGATTCGGCTAGTCGATGACCCTCGCACTTTTTGGGGAAAAAACCTGTTGACACTAGGACACTCTGTTTGACCATTGGGGTTCACGGGATAGTGCCCTATGCCGGTGCAAACCCCATTTGCTATCCGGCTGCTCGTTCTGCGCAAATCTCAGCTGCGCACTTTGCTGCATGCTGTGCTGCCTGCAAGTGTGCTTGACATGCTTTCAAAACCAGATTAACTGCGGATCACAAGCCAGCCTCATTGAAGCTTTAATTTCCACGAGGTGGACAAACGAGATCTCCAAGAAAAGCTGTCCAGCGTTCACGGCCGCCTGGAGGAGCTGAAGGTAGCTGCAGCCTCGGCTTTTTTCCGAAGGATGCTAGTGCCGCGCGGTGACCAGTGATGCTTTGGCGGCCTCGCGCACGGCACGATTTGTCTGGAGTCTTTGGTTGAGATTTGCATGCGTGACGTGGCATTGTGCATGCAAATATGTGTTTTTCAAAGTAATGAAGTGAAGCCTTCGGCATTCTTGTTGCAAGTCCACCGCGCCTGTGCTCAGGCCGATGAGAACATCTCCAATGGTCTCAAGGAGTTGGCGTCAATGGTCAGCGACTTGCAGGCAAGGCCAGACTAGCAGTTAGGCCTAAACTTAGGAGCCCGCAAGCTCTGATGCTTGCTGCCATTCGTAAGATGCGGTAAGCCATCCGCAAAAACAGCCGCTGCAAAGTGAAGCGAAACGACAAAAGGGCGGTGACGGTGCTCAGCAAGTGGGGAAGTCGGGATAAGTTTGACGTTGACTGCAAGATATGCTGTCTCCGGGCACGATCCATGGTCCATGGGCGATGATGGGAGGAACACTTTTGAACAGGAAAGGCCTGCCCTGTTCAACCAGCTGTATGACTCGAATGATGAAAGTGACTCGCCGAACCGAAGGACGGAAGAACATTTTTTGGACAGAGGACAGTTTGGAACGAACAGATGTTGACCTTAGGAAGAGGCCCGCCAAACCGAGCAACCGAACCAGAGCTGACAGTCAGAAACACAGGGCACTAAGCTTTTGAAATGCGGGTTGCATCGAGCTGTCCTGGCTACGACGGAATGCAGGAGTTGCAACAAAAGATGTTGTGAGGATGATTCAAGCGTTGATGCAAGGCCTTGTTCCACAGCCATTCGGTCGTGAGCGTTCTTTGGGCCAAAGATCTCCGATCCTACTCCTCACAACCAGAAGCGTTCGCAAAAGTTTTCAAGACTCGTGGCTGGCTTTGGCGCGGAAGTTTCTCGCATGCTGCGGCTAGCCTTTTTCTCCTTTAACGTCGGCACCAACACACACATCGCTGCCTGTGCATTCGTTTATAGCAGTTTTGTTGTGCTTGAGGGTGTCCTTATATGCAAGATGCATCATACGAACGGCTGCATCATCTGTCAGTGCCCAACACCTCAGAGTGGGAAGCTTGGCCGAGTTTCAACGCAGGCTCACACCTCCGACATGGCGACAAAGAGCTATGCAGAGGAGGCGTGTATGTTCTGACATGGGCGGCAGTTTATGGGCAAGAGACCGGAGATATGTCGAGGTGGCCCGCAAGTATGCCGATGAAGTGGTGAGAGCCAGCACCGAGAAGGCTCTTCCTTGGATCGATCTGCGCTTTTTGCCTCTTTTTGCCTCTTGGCGATTCTTAGCGATTCTTAGCTTGACGAAAGGAAGAAATTGACGCCCTTCGCCGAGACTTCATCGAGGCCATGTGGGAGAACGTGCTCTGCGACATCTACGGCATACTGTCGCCTTGTAGTGCCATGTAAAAAGATCCTTTCTGAGTACCGGTTCCGTGTCATAATAAGATCCCCAAACGGCACCAGCATTTAGAGAACCTCCGCCCATTGAAACGTCGTACCGAGTGCCTGGCAGGAGCAAGAGCAGATTCGAGCCAACACGAGGCAGCAGCAAAACAACAGGCCCTGGAGTCCAACTTGGCCACAGAGACAGACACTACACGCACTCATGACGTTTCTCAGCAGGCGGGATCTCAATGGGGCTATTGAGGAGTTGAACAACTTGCGAGCCCGGGCCCCAGCGAAGCAAGCTGACCCCATATGAAGATGGCAAGCAAAGTTGTCTGGACACGCCCGTGCCCGATGCGCCAGGCGCAGTCGATGAAGGTGGAGAAGTCGTGGTCCAAGCACCAGACCCTCCCCTCCCCTCCCTCCGGTGTAGTTGTAAGCGCCGTGCGTCGACCGCCTGGGCCCGGCTTGACACGTAGCGGGGCTTGGTGGGGGGGCGGCTGGGCCGAGAGCCGAGAGACCCAACGGTCACAGAGTGATGTTCTCTGTGCCAAGCGTGGCAAGGAGATCAATATCAGTGCAGGTAGATCCCTTACTCTTGTGCTGGGCAGCACGATGTGGGAAGGCTTTGCCCAAGCTTAGGCTGCCTTTTGCTGGCATTCTGCAAAAGCTTCTTAGTCCTGACACACTTGGGGGTCGAAGGGGTTGACATGGGGTGGTATGTGGTTGGGAACCTCTGAATCGGCTCCTAGCGAGCTGGTACGATCGGACGCTTGGCGCTGCAGCTTTACATGGCCGTGTGAGCCGCAAGGCAGTTCTTTCCGAAATTAGTCCTGAGCTTCTACAGGCGATGTGGCTCGATCGAGGAACAAATCACCTCCCTGAGGAGTCAAGAGGCAGCGTGGGCTTTTCGCGCGACTGTTCACGCAGGACTTTTGCAGGCTTTGAAGTCGCCTGCGCAGAAGTGCCGGGCGTCATCCAGTGTAGGCAGGTCGCTTGCCTCGTCGCAGGCGGAGAACTGGGACAACATGCAAGACACCCTGAATAACCAGGCCAGGCACCCAAAGGTACCCATACCATCCCATCCCCCAAATTGTCCACGCCCGACACCCCTGTGACTTTCTCTGCTACCCCCCAGCCAGGCTAACACCTACGAGGACTTGAAAGACGCGTGTGAGGTGCGGCTCCTGAGCCCTGGACAGTAAAACACCTTGGCGTAAGCGTTGCAAGGCGCTCCGGCTGGAGCTCAAGGAGCATGCGGAGAAGCAGCAGCAGGAAGGAGAGAGGCGAGAAACCCGAGCCTGTGAGCAACCGGTGTGTGGTGGTGCCTGGAAGTGCAAATCTGTTTTTTTTCGAAGCATCCGATGGCTCTCAAGGCTCTTACTTCTTGCATGCACTTGTGCATGTGCCTTAAGTGCTCTATAATGTACAAGACGGTTAAACCTGCGCAACAATGTCACCAGAGCAACACCAACAATCACCAGCACCAGGAATCCTGACAGAGACAGGTCATCACGGTGTCATCTTGACCGCAAGAACGGTGGGCCATGGCCGGCATCAAGCGCTGCTTCCGGAATGCGGGCCAAATCTACTATGGCGAGGTGCTGGCAGTGTGACACGGAAGATCACGGAGGGAACAAGAGACAGAGAAGCGCAGAGATCAAGAGAGCGAAGAAGAAAGCGTGCCCAAAATTGTGCCCAAATGATCCCGAATGCGAGTTTCTGTGTCAAAGCGTAGGTGGAGGAGCAGGCAGATGGCACCTGCTTGAGAGATGGCCTTGGGCTGCAGCTCTTCACAGCTCGGGTGCCGCCCCGTCCCGACACGGCGGAGGGGGAGACGGAGACTGCGGAGACTGCGGAGATCGTGCACGGCCGCTACCAAGGAGCCTGGAAGAAGGGACAGCTTACGGGTGCAGGCGTGTATCGCTGGAGCGATGGAACCGTGTATGACGGATACTTTCTCGATGGCTCCCCTCATGGCTATGGCCGCATCCGATGGCCGGAGGGTACAGTCTACGATGGAGATTGGAATCGTGGAGAGATGCATGGGCAAGGGACCTACATTTGTGGCTTCAAACATCTGGAGAGCCATGGAATCTTCTGGCGAAACTGCCTCAAGAACCACACGGGACAGTGGGTGAGCAAGGTGGAGGAAAGAGAAGCTCTCAGACAGCAGCATCTCAAGATTAATGCTTATCCTAGCACATGCTACGTCATTCCGGTGATTCGATGTGATGGCAAAGACATCCTGGCCAAAGCGCTAACAATATCACAAGAACCACCGTACTTGGTCCCTTTCTTGCTTGCCAAGCAGTCCTGCAGTGCCGGGCCGGATACCAATGAGACATCGCCACCTCCTATGTGCTACGTAGAAGAAGATGCACCTGGTGTCCTAGGGTCCACTTTCGGGACCTCCATCCATATTGCACATGTAGCAGTCGAGAAGCGGCGCATGCGGCACACAGACCCTCTATTCCAAAACGCCATTCAGCGGGCATTGCTGGAGTCCAGGCCCTTGTCGTTGATTTGGGCCGACGATGACAAGCGAGCGTCTCCATTCTCGGATCAGCTTGAGATCCCGGTAGACATCTGGGACCTCGAGAATGCGAAAGCGGTGCCTGACGAGTGGTCTCTCGACTACTTCTTCGACAAGCTGGTGCGCCCTGCCCCGCACAAGGCATGTGTAAAAAACAGAGAATGTCAACGTGTAGTAGCTAAAAGTGTGGTTCATGGGCACATTCAAGGTTGCCAACGGACATCTTCGACCCTCTCCATTTCCAGTGCAGCAACCAGGCCTCTGCCTTCCTGCCGGAGGCGCAGGTCCAGCAGGTCTTCGCACGATATACGTCCTTGTCCAAGGAGCACGCCAGGGAAGGTTCGGGATCCCTGGAACACCCCCTTTAACAAGCCCTTCTTCTGTTGCGAGCTTTCTTCAGCCAGTGCTGTAGTGACTGTAGTGCCAGGAGCCGAAGGGGCCGAAGGGGCCGAAGGGGCCGAAGGGGCCGAAGGGGCCGGAGCCGAAGGACCCGGCGGAGCCGGCGGAGCCGGCGGAGCCGGCGGAGCCGGCACATCCCGAGATGCAGCCTCCTCCCATTCTCCACACCTTGCGTGTTCTGATGATGTCGCTCAAGAAGCGCCTCGACACCTCGACTCAGAAATGTTTTTTGTGATTCTTCTGTCCGCTCCAAAGCCACATGACGTGCTGCAATCACCGCAATCGCAGGATTCCGAACGGGGCTGAAGACGAGTCTATCAGGAAGCACATGCGGAGCCGCTTCGGATCTGCGGTGCCGCTGCACCGCATTGCGGTGCTCGTTGCTGGTTGACGCCGTCATGTCCGTGGAGTCGTGAGGCCATTTCTGTGACACGAAAACAAGCTGTTTCACTTTGTTCGTCACGGCGAATTGATGCCGAAGATCGGCGCACAGAATTCAGCTGAGCTGCCGACCACCGGACAAGCTAGAGCTCTTTCTTGTGGGCTGAGCTCAGGATCTTGGGGCTCGATGGGCCTTGCATGCGACCTGGCTCTGTCATTTAGATCCCCTGCGCCAGGTTACGAGACCAGTCGACGCGCCAGTACCTGGATCAGCTGGCCGGAAGCCCGGTGGTTCCGATGGTTCCCGGAGTCCCGCAGTGAATCCGAAGACTTTTGCGTGGCCTTTCGGGAAGCTTCATGGGAGGCATTATAAATTATAAACGGCAGCTGGAGGGGCTGAAGCTTTGGTGCTTAAGCTGCTGGGTCTGCGAAGGATAAAGCCCTGGACCTTCAGGGGGGCCTCAACCGGCTGCAGTGCGGCCCTCGGAACTTGCATGAACTTGCAGCAGAATCGTCAAAGGTTTTTCTAATTCGTATAAAGGTGCCCCAAGAATGTTGGGCTTTTTTCTGGAAGCCAAAGGCTGAGCCACAACGAGCTCGACGAAACGGTGAAGACTTTTCGGGGCAAGCCTGCAGATTCCAGTGTGAAGGGCATCTCTGTGACGGTTCCGAGCATTGCCTCGGCTGAGACCTCTGCATGAGGCTTATCAGGCTCCGCAAAGCTTCGGGGTGATTTCTAGATCGGCGTGCTGTTGCTGCGCGCTGTTGCTGCGTGCTGTTGCTGCGTGCTGTTGCTGCGTCTCCTCTCAACCGGGGCTTTCAACCGGGGCTTTCGACCGAACATGAAGGCTCAGCTAGCTGTCCCTCACACACACACACATCCGCAAATGTGGCACGCGATTTCGCGTGCTTGCGCAGGTTGAGAGGATGTCATGGCACATGGCCAAGCCATGGTGTTTTGGTAGAGGCTCCTCTAATAGCTTTTGAGCACCCATGACTTTGTCAACAAAGTTGCACCAAAGTCGTGGGGCGCTGACATGCGCTGACCCTGTAGACGGTATGTGTGGCAGGTCTACATCATTCTACATCCCGTAGCATCCCAGCAGCTCTGATTTTTTCCCCTGTGGGGTCAGTCAAGAAGTCCCCGGCTCGTAGGACTACACTTGGTGCGCTTGGTTCTGAAGTGTGGTGGACGTGGTGGATTAGCACCGTTTTTCGGAAAAAAGTGGCACCACCGGTTGAGCAGCTGAAGCCACGGTGCGACACCACCGCCCCCCAAAGCCTGCTCAGCTGCTTACGCTTCTGGGGCTCAAGCAGACGAGAGGATACGTAGGTGAACTCCAAGGTAGTCCGAGGAGAAGAGTCTTTTGAGCTGTCGCTCAGCCCGGAATGGCTCGGTGGCAAGGCTTTCTTGGGCCTCGCCTTCTGGGAAACCCGGAGCTGGCCGAGCCTTGGGAAGCTTTCTGGGACAACCACTGGCAGTTTGTGTTTACCATGGGGGGGCGGGGGGGCGTGGTAATTCTGAACAGTGGCCGACTGCCGCTTGTGCACCATCCCGAGCTTCGTGCCAATCGGGTCGGCTTGTCAAAAAACCGATCAGAAAGTTGCAGAGGTTGCTGTGCGAATTCCAAGACCCGACCCCGACGGGCCTTCGATGACCTTGGTGTGTGAATCTTGCGAATGTCAGCGTAAGGACGGCGCCATGCCTGCTGGTTCTGCTCTGCGCAGTCCGAAGCTCAGCGCTACAAGTGCTTTTCAGGACAGGGGGGGTTCTGACCCAGGGATTCTTGGTACACCCATGGCGAGGTCTTTGTCTACATCAGGACAGCATGGCAATCAACACGACTTCTGCTGCTGCCAGTGTTGCTGTGTGCTGGGCGGTGGCGATGCTCATGCAGTGGGGTTCTTGTCTCATGGGCCCCCGCCGGATATGGGCCGGAGGGAGTCAAGCAAGGTGGGGGCATTTGGGGCGTGTGGGTATGTTGGGCGTGTGGAAGGGAGAAATTCAAGTTACACCCCGCCCCCCCCCCCCCTCTCCCGCCGGAGTTCAGCTTCAATCAACCTGAATCACGATTCGCCTTCCAAACGAGGTGCTGATGCAGCCGACGGTCAGGTGGATCTTCAAGACTCCCAGGGGCCAAACCTGTGCTTAGACGTGCCATGTGGCAGGTGGCTGCGATGGCCAGACCAGCTCCATTGCAGGAAAGCCAATTTCAAATCGGGGTGATGGTATTGTCTCGTAGACTGTTCTGTCCGATGGTCCAAAGACAGGCGCCACATCCGAACGGAGACGTGAGGCCCGTGTCACCATGTCACATGCCCCAAGATCCCAACAGGTAGGGCCGTTGCAGCTGTTTCCTTTCTATGGAAACGCCTTTCGGTCTGCAGGTCCATGGTTCGAGAAGCGGCACAAACCGTGGCAGCTTCGGTGCCGCCCAGACCTGAGCTTCCATCAATGCTGCGAATCGCGGGCTGAAACCCGGCGATTGGAAGGGCTCAGCTTCACCTTCAAAGTTTGTGAACTGGACTGCTCGGGTTCTTGTCTCCTGATTTTCCTTCCGCCTACTCGAGGCAAAGGGCAGCTGCCCCACAGGCGCCGGTGCAGCTCATCATACAGTTTCTGGGCAAACTTTGACGTATGTACCATTTTGTGTGCTGCGCTGCTACGTGGCATGCAATGATTCCTTTAAGCTTTGGCACCTTAGGAACAGCTCGACGGTTACAACGTCGCAAGTGCCAGAGACGCCACCAGAACCACCAAAAATGCCGCAGCACATGTGGGAGTTGTCCAGGAAAGACCTAGTCGAGTTCTGGATGTCGCCACTGAATCGAATTTGCCTGTTGGGCCTTGCTGGTTTCCTGCTATGGATCTACCACGGCAACACCCAGCCCTTTGTTGAGCAATGGGCATTGTAGCTGTTGCACAGCCGCGTGAACATTTTGTTTACGGCGCTCTAACATCGACTAAGGCCGAGAAATCGGTCGTAAGCTTGTGGATCCCAAGGCACAAGTGGCGAATGTCAGAGCTTCAGCGCCGGATAGATTCCAATCCCTTCACAAAGCTGGTTGCAATGGTCGGACACCCAACTTCTTACGTCGTGGCTTAGTTGGGTCACTGGGATGGCTGGCCACTTTTGCCTGCAGGCCTTTGGACCATCGTCTTGGCCAAGGTGATGACTTGCAGCATCGTTTCACTGCAGCGCCACACTGACTAACGGCTGGCTCGGAGTGCAAGCCAAACCACTTTGCAGACTACTTTGCAGACGATGTAGCGCGCCCGCACTATGGCTTAGCGGGCGTTGCTTGCGCAGCGCCTCAGCAGCACGATGCTCCGGCGCACTCGGCTCAAGTTCATTCACCCAGGAGCCGCTGCCAAGCATAGTCGCGCCTCCAAGGATGAGGGCAAGCGTCCACAGTTTCACGTCGCACCTCGCATTGCTGCCAGACCATTGCAAACACCTTGAGCTGCCACTGCTGAATAGTTGGAACATGTTGGAAGAATTTCTACAAGCCCAAGCAGAAAGCAACCGAAGCCAAGAGCGCCCACTCCAAGGATGCCATGGGTAAGAGTTCCTTGCACGGTGCACCCCATGAAGGGGAGACGGAGGAGACGGCATGAACCCCTGAAATGGTGGTGTGAGGGTGATGATTGATGATCGATGACGCAAACCTTGCAGCTGCTGGCCGGAGTCGCCGGAGTCACCCTCATGCAAATGTCGGCGGTCCGATGTCCTACCAACTTTGTTCGTTGTACCATGGTAGCTCCACAGGAGATGACAGGTCTATATAGCTTGCGTTTTTGCAAGTTCCCGAGTTCCCAGGCCAAGAGAGCCTTGTAAGTTTGCTCTTTTGCTTTTTGCTCGAGAAAAGAGTTCAATGGTCAGGAGATCCAGGTGCGATGTGCCAAGTGTCCCTCTACGCCTGAACGTCGCCAGCTCGGATGCCGCTGAGAAACTCTGCGTTAGGACCGTTAGGGCATTTGCTTGTCTTCCAATCTTTCCAAGTTGCGATGGCAGACCTTGAAGCAAACGCCTGTTGAATGCCATGGTTGTCGGATTGTCTGCAAAGAAAGCACCTGAAACGCTTAGGCTGTATTTTCTGTCTCTCCCTAGATGGAAAGCTTGAGCCTCGGGCGGATGTGAGGGTTCGGGGCACGGGAGAAGCCGCAGACCAAAGGCAGTATGTCCCTCTACATCACGAGAGCCCCGTGCCTACGTCGGCCAGGCGCCTTTGCAGCGCCACTTTGAACCTGTCGGTGCATTACGTCAGCGTCAGACAAACGGGCAAGTCGTTCGCACAGCTGCGCCGCTCCGACCTGTCCGAGTCGAAGCCTCTCGAAGGCTTAGGTTTTCTTGTTAGGCGCCCGCCTTGTACGCCCGAGGCAGGGTGAGTCAGTCTGGGTACCAGCCAGTGTGCTTTTGGATTCTGTGTGATGTCAAAGACGCACTGCGTTTGTGACCAGTCTGCCGAACCGGACTACTCAGCGACCCCATCTAAATAGATCCGAGCGCCGTCAGCTTCAACAACGAAAGTGTCTGGTTCGCCAAAAAAATTTGGACGCTCTTCGCTTGTCCTACGAGTAAACCAGTATTGGATAGTATTGGTGGACATATATGTGCATGACTGTGCATGACTGTGCATGTGTACTTGCGTGGCGGTACACGACACGACATCAGGACCCAAACCCAGAAGTCGGAGCACCGAGCAGCCTTTGCCTGGCCCACCTCTCCCCGCACAGGCTGCCGTACAGCCCAGCTCTCGCAGCGCACACCGCCTGCGCGAAGTGCTGGGCGGATTGGGAGGACGCCGGGGGAGGCTCAAGGACTCAAGGAGGGTTTAGGAGCTTAAGTGCGTGTCGCCCCTCCAGGAGCGACTTCCTGATCCAAGAGCGCAGCTGGGACACACTTGATAGAGCTGCTGGCGACCGCATCATCGCAACTGGCGTTTCTGTCAGGTTTCCTCAATGTCCAGTTTGCCAGAGAGCCATAGAAGTCAGCCAGGGCTATGCTGACAAGGCAAATCCGAAGTGTCCATTGCGGGACATCTTCGAATATTACAGCGGATTCATGCCAAGCAGTGTGAGAGCATTGTCAGGTGCAGTGCCACTTGTGCCTGGAGGCTCATCAGCCGTAAAGGTTTGTGCGTGATCTTGTTGCAGCCAAAGCCGCTCAGTTAAGATGTCAGGCGTTGCTGGCAGAGGTGCGTTCACGTCGACATCGATTCAAGAAGGACTGGAAGTCAACTGCACGGGACATTGCAAGTTGATCCCCTGCCAGGACGCGAGGCAGACTTCCAGATGCTGTTGGCCCACACGTCTTGGATTAGAAAAGTGCCAGTTTGGGAGGGGGGCGTTCCAGAAATCCGGATCACCGTGTTGCTCATGTCGTTGCCGAAGTCTCCCGTTTGAAGCCCTGTTGAGGGTTCTTCCCCAAACCCCCTTCCGAGCCTCTACCCTCTCAATCTCTCTCATGAACAGCCAGGCTCTGGGTCTGCCTTCCGGTGCGAGCCCCGAGTAGTCTTCTGCACCGCAGAGAGAGAGAGAGAGAGAGAGAGAGAGAGAGAGAGAGGGAGGGAGAGGGAGAGGGAGAGGGAGAGGGAGAGGGAGAGGGAGAGGGAGAGCGGGGCTGTCTTCAAAGTGCTCAGAGTCCGTGCTCAGAGTCAGAGAGACGCCAGGTCGTGCTGCTCATTGCAGGGTTCAACCTGGCCTTCTCCATGGTGCTCGACCTCACGGGCCGGTGGATGGCCAAGGAGAGAGCTCCCGCTGGAGTGGACACATTATACAGATCTCATATGATCTCATGCAAAGCTCCCTGCACTCCATGTTCGAGTGTTTAGAATAGGGGGTCCAAAAATGGAGATTCTCTTCTATCGCGCTGCCGCTTGCCATCATAGCCTTATGAAGCATGCGACCCACAATCCACGACACTGAAGATTTTGCTGGTTAAGCTGATAAGAAGAGGGAGGGATTCAGAACACAGGTTTGAAATCAGAGAAGCAAATCAGAAGCAAGAAAGACAAATTCAGAAAATGAAGGGAACCATCCACAGACCAACAGAACTAGAAACATTGGGGGGGCGGGCAATGCTGCTGATGATGCTGCTGCTGCTGCTGCTGCTGCTGCTCTGTGTGCCATGGCTTTGCTGGAATCGCACGTCCGGAATGTTGGGGCTGTTGGGGTGTTTGGTTTCCGGTTGAGGGCTTAAGTTCCAGAGAAGTCTGCTTGTGAGCAAAAAGGCTTTAAACATCTCTTAATACTTCCCCGTGCTGCCCGCTCCCACCTACTTGGCGTTACAGCATGCTTGGAACCGGAGATTCCCCGCAAGCGCGGAAGTCCGACATGACCTGCCGGATTGCCGGATTGCCGGATTGCGGCCCTGAGTTTTACAGAGCCTCTTTTTTACGATGAACAACAGCGGCTTTTCCGTTCTTTTTCTAAGACTGAAACACGAAAGAGTTCTTCGTAATCCGAATATTAATATCCCATTAAAATCACCCTGGCCCACAAACCCGATCCCGTAGTAGCCGCCCCTTTCAAATGGGGAATGGGGGGGGGGGGGAAACATATGAATCCTTTCCAAACCCAGCTTGGAGGTTGCTGCGAACCCCCTAGCTCCTCATTGTCAAAGCCATGCACGCATGATTCAAAGCATACGACTTCTTTCCAAACATTTTGCTATCCAGGCTTTATCCACATGTTCCATGCCGGACCGAAGCCACCCTTACTCTACTATGCATGCTAGGGGGCTAGGGCGGTTAGGGGCTTGGCTTCCTCAAGATGGGTTTTGAAAGGATTCATCATACGCTTTGAAGCAAGCTTCCGCGGCTCGGTTGGGGAGGAGGGAGGGGGGGAACACAAACAGGTTCATACGTTTTTAGCAAACTTGTATGATAAAAGCAGTGGGGTTTGCAGCCCTCCCCCCCCCCCCCCCCCAACTCATTTGCAAACGCAGTGATGGCATGCCGGGTTTGGAAGGGATTCATAGGGGGGGGCTGTGGGTGGTGCAGCCTCCCGCCATTTTCACACACAATGCTCGCATGATGGGTTTGGACAGGATTCATACACTTTGAAACAAGCTTGTGGGGGGATTGTTTTTTTTTTTTGGGGGGGGGGGGGATCCCCTCAGTTGCAAACAACCATGTAGCGCCATAGTTGGCGGCCCTGAACCCTCAAAGGCATGGGGCGGCGGACCATGTATGTCCATTTGCGGAACAGAGATGATGATTCGAAGCATCGACAACATTTGCAAGCTGTAGGAACGAAGTTGTCGTACTATTTCCAGGTCGATGTTCATCAATGTTGGATCTTTTGCCTGAGATTCAAGGTAAAATTGGTTTAGAAGAGCCAGCTGATCAGTGCCATGTGGCAATTGGTATACTTGTATCAGCACCCGCGACCGCCAAATATGTTCGTAGAATTGCAAAGCTTTTAAGTGGTTGCCTGCTGCCTGGCCTGTGCAAATGGCAAAAAATGACTTCCAGGTGAAAGTCCCACGCGGACGAACAGTGATTTCCAGTAGCAACAGTGTGGAGTCCGCCTAGCGGCCAGTGTGAAAGACCCTAAGACCTGGGATTTTGTTGCGGACAACGGAAACCTTAAGCCTTGTAGCAATCCTTGCGCAGATCGCCAGAACACAGCAGTGCATAGACGAGCAGAGTGTTGGCATCGTTGCCGTAACGCTTGCCACTGATTTCCTTGTAACATATCGATCGTAGACTCAATCTGCTGCCTCGTAGGGGGATGGACTACCGGATCGACAAGCCTCTGAAAGCCTCTCTCCCTTCCTCCTGCTGCCTTCCATGCTGCTGCCTGCTTCTGTTCCTCTGTTTTCTGGTTTGTCGGTTGGGCTTCTAAACTTGTTTTCTGATGGTTTGCTTGTTTTCTGGCTTCCACCCCGTTTGTATTCTTCGAGCCTATTGCCGGAATTCCTCCGCACCCCCATCGACAGCCAGTCACACGATGCAGCTGGGCGGTAATTATGATCCCTGTTTAGGTACCCTAAAATATTAGGTGCCGTACTATAATAGGGATCCAAAAAGGGACCATAATTTTGACAACCACCCAGCTGAAGGACGTCAAGGGATGTCTGTACATTAGGATGTTCCCCCTTATGCTAACAGCTCCTTAATGGGGGAATTTTTATAGGGAGCACTGGAATCCTTATTCAGGACTGTTCGTAAAAGGGGGGAACATCCCAATCTGTACATGTCTGTACTCAGCATCCAATTTGCATGACAAGACTGGCGCATGTACCCATCGTCCGAAGGAGCTGGAGCAGAACCCTGCCTTTCTGCGTCAGCACCTGCCACCAGGTGGATGCATCGTAGGGGTAGCGGGGAAGTGATCTCAGAGAGTTGCGAGATGCATGCTGGGCCCAAAGTCTATGCCCTTCCCTTGGAAAATTTCTGAGTCCATCTCCTCCCCATCTTCTCGCCCGAAAGAATCTCTAAGAGAGGCGCCGTGTCTTTGCTCTGCTCCGATGATGCCCGAAGCTTCCTCGAGGTGCCGGGTAAGACGTTGGGCTTGTTCCGAAATGCACGGGGAGAGCATTTGTCCCTAGACCTGAGGGTTCGCTAATGTTGCCTCGCAGCTTCGGCAGGGCGGGAGGGAAGGGGAGAGAGTCTGAGGCCATCTGGGCATGCGGCAGAGTCGGAAGAGAGAGACCTTGTGTTTGCTGTGGATGTGCTCTTCTTTGTGTGAGGTGCTTGCCCATGACTCGACTCTGCGGCTGGTGTCATCGTTTTTGCAGGAGGTGCGGGGGAGTCTTTGCATGGTTCTTTTCAGAGTTGCGGGATTGTTGAGTTTTTTGGAACCCTGCGAGGTGGCCACCAGGGCCTGCGAGGGACCAAGAAGGTGCCAACAACAACGCTTTGAGCTGAATGCTGAACTCTGAACAAACGAACGTGCGATTCACGAGACAGTTGCGAGGAGGCGACACGGACTCCATTTTTCTTGGATTGGGAGTAAAGGTTTGGATTCTGGCAGGTGGTTGTCGGTTGTGTGGGGATGTCGAGTCGGCATTTTTGTTGTGCTTGCGGATCGGTTGTACCTCATAGCGGTCGCTGTTGGATCTCAGAACGTAGCGTAAATGTTGCGAGCGTGATCCCTCAGGCTCTTTTCGGCCTTCCAAGCAAGAACGGAATTCAAATGGCATGCTAAGATAGCTGCAATTATCACGCGTTGGGTGATGACATCTTAGTCTTAGGTAAGGGCAGGCCGCTGCCTAGAGCACTGATCACAAACATGTTCGGAGGTCCCGCGTCTCAGAGACGAGCGGCGTGGCCCGAGAAGAGCTATGACTCTTGCAATAGCCTTGCGCGACTCTGGCTTCCTCAACCATTGCACCTGTCAGTGCCTGGAAAAGATGTGGCACTTTGCAGTACGTGCCGTTGGTATCCGCTGGTCGTAACCTGGACAGGCATTCTCGCCATGTTGCTTTCCGATGTCCGCCAGCTGCTTCCATAGCCGGTTTTGTTGCGAACACGATGCCGGGCCCATGCAGCAAAAGGCAGCTCTTGCGGGAACATAGATTCGACATAGATTCGACATAGATTGACAGAAGCAGCATCGAAGAGCCTGTTCGCGATGCAGCTGGCGACTCCGCTGCTCCAAGGCTTGGAGTAGCTGAGGGTGCACGTGTGAGGTTCACCTGGCTTGAGAATTCAAACTTGGGAGCGGGTTGTTGTTTACCATGTTGCAGTGTTTACCGGGAGCATCGGAAACTTTTTGTAGCCGAAGTGCTGACGTGGGGCCACAGAAACTCATCATAAACTAATGAAAATATTCAGATTAGTTCAATGAACCCAGTAAATTAAACTTGGCAAATTGATGACATGGCTCAAATAAACTGCTTTGCGGTTGAACATACTCACTAAATTAAGATTACATGAACCAATCAAACAAGTTCTTTATCAGTTGGATTATCTAAATTGATAAATATTACCGGGAACGTTTTTTGTTGAACATGTAGATTTTTCTCAAAGTCCATGGTATTTGGTTGAAATGTAGGCTTTTTTTCTCAAGAACGCTTGGCTTTGTGTTTTTGGTGTAGCTTTTTTCCTCAAAATCTATGGTTTTTGGTTGAGCGTAGGTTTGTTTCTCACAGTGTACGGTCTCGGGTGTATGGTTTTTGGTGGAGCATGAAGGTGTTCTCCTCAAGGTGTATGGTTTTCGGCGGAAAATGTAGGGTGTTTTCCTCAAAGTGTATGGTTTTTTGTTGAACATGTACGTCTTTCTCTCAAAGTGTATGGTTTTGGTTGAAATGTATTTTTCCTTTGAGAAATTGCTTGCCTTTTGGACAGAAATCTATGCAACTTTGCCAGCGTGCCATACATAGTTTTAGACCATACATAGTTTTTCTTGAAATATACGAAATCCGTGCCAAGCCATAGGTTTCCAAACTGCCAAACCAGTTGAATTTTGACTGCGCGTAGTTGACAATACATGTTTTCAAAATGTAAAGTTGTGACCATGTTTACACGCACATGCTGTGTAAACAGTTGTTTTGGGTATTATGTAGCGCGTTCACATTCATCCAACAGATCGTATCTCGTATCCTGGTCTTGCAGCCAACGCTGGACTACGCGGAGGAAGGGGAGGAAGTCTGCTGGGGAGGAGGCTTGGGAGCTACATCTTCCGTGCGCGACCTCGGCTTAGCGACCCCGTAGCTGCAAGGGCTTCTTCTCATCCTTGTGACGTTGGACTGCATATTACTACTCACCACTTTCTGATGAGTCAGTGGTTGATTATGTTGGTGAAACCTAATCGAGGTACCCTTCGGATTCCAAAGTACCATGTTTTGGGTAACTTACCCATTAGACATAGTAAGCTTTCCACACAACCAGTGCACTAGCTGTTTTGATTTATCACATACCCAGTTGCAGCCATTGATCCTTATACACCATGTCCACTGCTGACGATTTATCATGGGTGCTCTCTATTTTCAGAAACCTAACATACTTACGGGCAGATGTTGATGGTTGTTGACAATGATCCGCTCACAAGTCACAGTTGCGTTTGGGTCAATCATGCCATAATCATTCATTCCAATGTTCGCAAAATCCCAATGTTGTTAAACCCAAATGACACCATGATCAATGCCACGCCGAGTCAACTTGCAAATAACACAGATTAGATCCAGCACCACCTGGGATAAGATCTCGTGAATAACTAGGAAGCCCATCAATTGCAATCTGGTGCAAAAAAATTTACACTCCCGCAATCTAACACAGCAATGGAACACCTTCCATGGCTCTAAAATATCTACCTTTTGGATATGAAAATTTTTCGAGCCATGTATCGGATGACCGGAGGGTAAAGCATCAGTACTAGGAAAAACCATTTTGATCAAAGCCATCATTCGGAAAAACAACCGTCAAACTAAAGGACAAACTACATCAGGGTTCCAACAATACTTCTGGTTAGGGTGGTTCATAGCGCTTAGTGATGGTGTGTGATGGTGTGATGATGATTGACTTCGATTGAAGGAACCTCCAAATATCTCTAAAGTTGATTGCAGAGTCACGGCAATGATTGGCAATGCTGAAAGCGAATGGTAAGGGTATGATGATGAGGAGGATGACGACGACGATGACGATGACGCGGACGATGATGATGATGATGATGATGATGATGATCATGATGATCCTGATGATCATGATGATCCTGATGATCATGATGATCATGATGATCATGATGATCATGATGATCATGATGATCATGATGATCATGATGATCATGACGATCATGATGATGGTCAAGTAACAAAGCCATGGCCATAATGATAAAGTGCTATGACTGTAGTATTGATCATGACAAATATAACACATACGATGACCACCACCACCACCACCACAACCACCACCACCACCACCACCACCACCACCACCACCACCACCACCACCACCACCACCACCACCACCACCTTCATCGCCACCGTCATCATCATCATCATCGGCATCATCATCGTCATCATCGTCATCATCATCGTCATCATCACCGCATCATCAGCTATGAATTATCCTTGCAGGTAGTATTGAGTACCCTCAATCACCATCACCTTTACCAATAACATGTCATCCACATCCACTCCTTCCAGCATCAGGACACCCTGAAGCAGCTGGAGATGGTGTGCACTGTCTCAAGCGCGTGTGAGGCTCGCCGGCGGTGAGGTCTGTCAGCGCGTCCTAGGAAGGAGTTCCGTGACCGGATCACCGTGGAAAACTAAAGCATCTTTTTTTTTCCCTTGAATTTAGGGCTAATAATGGTATACCACCAATGATGGCATGATAATGGTGTAATCATGGTATAGTCATCGTATAACGATGGTATTGTGATGGTATAATGATGGTCTAATAACGGATAATCGTGGTACAATCATGGTATAGTAATGGCATACCACTCATGGGATAGTTTTGGTATTGTCCTTAGAACCTAAGCGTTGGCCGCTGAAAAATGTACCCTAAGGATTTTGCGTTACCAACGAACCATTTTGGGGTGCCAACTGGTGTGGGTAATTTATTGATCACCCGGAAGTGGTGATCACACTTGATCCTCAATCTTTTGTATGGTCCGCAATTACAGATGTTTCTTGATGATCTTCAATCATCAATCGTGGATTCTCAGGACTGTGTTCGAATCAAGTATACAAAATTGAGACCTTGTAGTCAAGTGCGGCAATAAAATCCCGGTGCCCCACTTGAGCTGGACCATGAGGTCCAACGTCATCGACGACGCAGCCATTTTGATCTCGAGACCGGCTTTTGCCAGCCTGCAACCTCTGTGATATTTCGTTTGCGCAATGCCTTCCACATCCCTTCTCTATCCGTTGCTGCTTCTACTTTCGCTTCTCCGCGGTGCTTCATGCTACCGCATTGCCGAAAAGTTGACGCCCCACCCAGTCGAGCGGGTCGGAAAAGGACAAAAATGTGGCGACGCAGTCTGGTGTGAGCGTGGCTTGGTGTGCAGTCCCTCGACAAGCACATGTAAGCCTGAGCTTATGCAGCCGTGCAACAAGACTTGGGACGCTATGGGCCTTACAGAATGTGCCGGCAAAGGAACCTACAAGCGTGCCACTATGTGCAGTGAACCTGATCCCACTGGACAGTCCTTTTGCTGCATCAAAGGTAAGTTGCCCTTCATTCCAGCTCAAATGCAGCAGGAACGAAAACCCTTGAATCTGCTCCGACATGGCAAAGAATGCTGCAGTGGGAAATACGAATTTTTCAGCGATGGCACGCTCGGCATCTGGATGCCTCCCAGCGGGGACCATTCGATGGAAGGTTCACCCCGTGGCATATATCTTTGTGTATAGCCAGATCGGCCAGTCATGTGCCTTGCACTGGCATTGCAAAAATGGGCAAGCGCGGTGTGGTGTTACTGTAAACATAACCTGGGTTTCAAAGATTTCTAGATTCTTCCTCTTAGGATCTGGCTGAATGGCATATACGCCAACAAAGCTGCCAGCATGTACCATTTATACCACTCCAATGTTGGTGTATATACTATACATATGGCATCTGGGTAGCAATAATGGCAATCAATAACGACAACCAACAAGAAGCCAATAGAAGTCCAATGGTGTCAGCATTGATGACTGCTAATCATATGGATAGGGACAATCGAGGTTATAGTGTGCTGTATGCCCATCCTGACGCTGGGCAGGTGAAGATGTCTCTTGTTGAGCGCTGCGAGTATTCTTAGGTGAAGAGTTTCTCCAGCACATTTCAGTACACTGAAGCCATTATAGCTAGTAACAGAGTGATGGATCACCTGCTGGTGAAGTTAGGGATGATGAGTAATGATCACAAAAAATGAATCCTATCATAGCGATCCATGACCATAGTCCCATTACCAAGAAGCCAGTCTTTGTGCGCCAGGCAGCGGGGATGGCCGATTTTTCAAGTTAAGGTCTGGAGTTTCGGTAATCGGGTTTAGGGTTGAGGGTTTAAGTGGGTGACATTAGACGGGGTTAGGGGCTTCGGGAGTTTGCAGTTCAGAGGCTTTTGGGTCTAAACCCTACACCCTAACCAGCATTCCTGCGCCAGCCTTACATAAACCCCCAAACCTTGGCCCGAAACCTGAACGCCCGAAACCATTCCGAGCCAGTGCTGTTGCCAAGCCTTGCAGGACCTAGAGTCCAGCGTAGGGAATGGGGACGGACACCTCAGTGTGCATTTGCGGGGCTTAAGCCTTCGACTAGGGCAACTAGGGTCTATAGCCCTCATGAAACTCCTTACAGCTTTCTCCGACCTGCCATAGGGCCTTTTTTTGGTGTTTTTTTTCAGATCCAGGCCATAACCTCGCAAGCCTTTGATGAAAATGAAGTTTGAGAATTTTGGAGACCTGTGGTCGCGATCTCGATGGGTGCACACTAGGTCGACTTAGGGTTCAAGGCCTACCAGAAATTCAGACCACGGGCCTCTCCTGGCCGGAAGGTCTACGATCATCAGCCCGGGCCAACCTCAAGTCCGAGGGGCTTGTATTATCTCATGGAAGACGCAGCACTTATGTAGCACTAAACGCCTGAAAACAATCAGTTCGGCATGGCAAGGCATGCAGAGTTCGGGATCGTAAGCAGGCAGCTTTTGAGGGAAAATGGATTGACAGAAATAGCATCAAAGAGCCTGTTCGCGATGCAGCTGGCGACGCCGCTGCTCCAAGGCTTGGAGAAGCTAAACGTGCAAGCGTGAGCTTCCCCTAGGTTTACCCACGTTTACCAGAAGCATCGGAAGCACGACCACGAGTGCCATGCATTTTTTTGTGGCAAGCTTTTTTTCGTGAAGGAGCATCCATCAGCTGCCTTCCTGCTTTGGAGTACTGCAAAGGGATTCTGTGGCTGTTCTCCTGGTGGTGCCTCGCCAAGATGCTTTGCGGAGAGCCCAGCCCCATAGCTGAACAAGGCAGAAGGTCTTTTGATTCACGAGAGATTGAGTGTTAGACTTCGAGTTAGAGTTAAAGGTCGAGTTCGAGTTAAGAGTGGTGAGGCCCATACATCCTGTGCTTGAGCTTGGCCGCCCACGTCCGAATACCGCCACCGTTCGGGCAAACGCTTCCGCTGCCGGACTTCCTGCTTGCGTATTTTGCAGGCCGGAGTAGCCTCAAAAGTTTTGGGGTTTGACGTTGTCCTTTGCTGCACTGGAAAGGCCACAGCACCTTCTACGCCTGCTGCTTCGGAGGCCAACCTCTCGCTTCGGGGGCCCAAATGTCCTCAATCTAGAGTCTGAATGAGAAGTGTTAGACTGCTACGTAATGAGAATGCATTCCAGGCCTCTTCTGGTGCAGTGCTTCTTCCTGGCGGTATTGCTGGCTCCTGGCTGCCCTGTGTTGTGCGCTGGCCACTGCGCGCCGTTGTTGCGCGCTGTCGCGGCTCGAGTGGGAGCCGCAGCAACGACCCCCACAGCCCCTGTTGACTCTGATCCACCCCTATATGCTTTTTGGCTGCAGGCTGGCAGAGTCTTTCTCTTTCGGGGTTCAGGGATTCAGGGGCTTGCAAGCTTTGGGGCTTTAGGGGTTTAGGGGCTGAGAGGGTAGGGGTTTCGGGATTTAGGGTTTGACTGGTTTGGGGGCTTAGGGTACGGGCCGAGTCGGTCTCGCTCGAACAAGAACCGTGCGCCAGGGGTTCGTTCACGCGAGTCGAACAAGCGACGGACGCAATCATCGTGCTGGCACGTAAAAGCAGCTGCATGGGTTGTTACACTTCAGCCGTGCGACGCACACGAAACAGTCTGAATGTCGATGCTAAACCACGGTAGCAAAGGTGTACAACAGCAGGTACCGCAAACACTGCGCCCAACTATGTTTTCGGAATGTCACCCACACGAAGCACGTTTAAATACTGTACCGATGTAAACGACATGTGCGCGGCGCGCGTGAAGAAACCGCTGGAGGGAAGAACCGCAGGTACTTCTTTCTCTCAAAGCTGCCGGGCCATTCGGATGCCGTCCACGTTCAGAGGCTCGAGCCGCCAAGCCTCCGGATGCCCATCGCCACCCAGCTGCACGAAGTGATTCGTAGCCGAGGATGCGTTAAAACGGGTGTTCGGACTCGGGACTGGCACTCGGCTACTGGGGGATGGGTTCAAGTCGCATCTTCTTGGGGAAAGTTGCGTCGCAGGCACGTGAGAATCAGGATTGGCATTCCAGCCGGATTGCCTTTTGAGTTTGCCCGCCAGGCTATGCTCTGAGGATTGCCTTTTTTGCTTGATGGATGATGGGAACCTTTGCTGGTGGCCGCTGCGTCTCTGTGTGTGCGCGTGCTTTCAAACTTACTTCCTACTTTGCTCATGCTCGTCCAAGGTGTGCAAGTTTTGTCACGTGCCCTCCGGTGTCCCCTCCCTCCTCCAAGCCTCTAAGAATGTGGAGGAATGCTGCAATTTGCGGAGCTTCGAATCCTGAAGTTGCAAACGCTGTTGGAAGGTTCTACAGGGAGTTAACACGGTCGGGCTAAGATTGCGTTCCTCTTGGCAGTTGCCTGCGCTCAGGACATCTGGCGCAAGGCCTCACCAGACGCAGCAGCATCTCCGGTGCTCTTTCTGATTCGAAGCTGCAGTATGCTTCAGGCTTCAGTGCAGGCCACACCCCAGCAAGCCACAGCACATCACAGCACGTTCAACGGAGGACGAAAGTGAGGGCAGCCCCCAGTGCATCCTCAGAGTTTGTGGGCTCCGAGGATCCATGGTGGGGCTTGGAGAGGTGGTGAAGCGCGCTGCTCACCGCAGGTCCGCTGTCGCTGTAGAAGGGACAGGCGCGGATTGACACACCGCCTTTGTTGTAGCAGGCGCCAGTTCTTCAAGCCCTGGCAGCATCTGGATTTCTTGTCGTGACTCGGCTGCTGTGGCTGGTGTTGAAGTGTTCTGCTCAAAACGCGCTCATTCTGATAGACGTCGAGGTCAGCTGTGAGTACCGCCGATTGCCAGGCCACTTGCCACCGAATGAGCCAAGCTGAGTTGCATGACATGGGGCAAGTGGCTCCAAAAACTCGGCTTCAAAGCAAAGGCTTGTTTGAGTCAGGTCCGGTGAAGCGGCACAGTGCAAGCTTGATTCAGAGAGAACAGACAAGTCGGCTCATTGCTGCTTTGGAGTTGAAGACATGGGTTGCGGCGTGTTTACGGTATACTGTGGTTTTGAGGTTTTCTCGGGGAGCCTCATCGAGCCAACATGTTTTCGTGGCCTCAGTCGGTTGGTGTGGCGTGGAGGTTCAAGGCCCGACTCAATCGCAGCGTCAGGCACGCAATGGCCCATGCAACTGGAGGACTGCGAGGCAGCCCTGAAGTGGCTCCAAGACGAGGCCAAGTTTTTTGGAATACTCATGGAACACCATGTGCTGTTTCCTGCATGCTTTATGAGAATCATATTGGCAGAATGTGTAACATGAATGCTCACAGACCATGTGAAGAGGCGTGGGGGCTAATTCTCCCCGAAAATGTTAGAGTGCGTGGGCTTCAGCGGAGGGGTTATTGTGGAGTGAGGAGGCAGGGTTCTAGAACTCAGGGTGGAGGTCAAAAGTGGGAACCCACGGCAGGCGAGGCGCGGGCCCAAACTTGTCTCCTCCCCCACTCCTCCTTCTCTCTCTCCAAGCGTACTTCCGCTGTACTTGGGAATCCCACCCCCCTTCGCCTCGCTTGCAAGAAGGTTAATCCTGATGTTGAGGCTGTGTCCTTGGGAGCTGACTTGTCCAATGTTTCCATTGCGGGAACCTCTGCTGGGGGACACCTTGCGGCGCTGCTTCTGGCCCGGACCGGGGCTCGGCATTGGTGGAACAGTAATTAATTGGGAACAACAACAACGGAACAGTAATGGGCAGTGTGAAGGCAGCTTTAAGCTCAGGATGCTGCATGAGCGTGGTGAGCTCACCAGTTCCATTCGCTTCCGAGCCGCGCTGCTCTTCTACCCGGCCCTGGATCCGGCCGATCGCTTCGGCAAAACCGTGAAGTCGCCCTTCTCGTGCTCCTGGCTGGGTGTAAGGCCTGGTGCTTTCGCAGACTACTTCTTCCTCACTATGGATGCCCAGAGATGCAGAGAGAAGAGAGTTCCTAGAGAGTCCGTGCCGAAATCAGGCGTGGGATGAGCTTTTTGGCCTGGTTCTTCGAGATGCACCTCGGGGCATTTTCTATTTCTCCGACCCTCACTGCATTTCTCTCACAATTTCCTCTTGGACAAAAGGCCTGTCTAGGGTGTGTGAGAGCCCAAGGTTTGTCCTCCGGCAGGATCGCCAGTTGTGGCCATCCGCCGAGCCTTTGGCATATCTACAAGCGGTATCTCGGCATCGCCTGCCCAAAAAAGCTTCAAGTTGTAAGCTTCTGACGAGAGTTAAGGGGCACACACCGCCGTATGTAACCTCTGTAACTTGTGTGACGACCTATGTAGCTGGAGCACCAGTACTGGGCCCTTCTTTCTCGTGTCTCAGGCCAGCGACCTGGAGGCCTGGCCACCGACTCTGTGCCTCGGAGCGCATTCTCGCTTACCTGAGGGTCCTACAGTAACACGTACCCGCTGCGTTTTTCCAGTTCGCAACATCACGGGCTTGTTCTTGGCTGCGGGTAACTACATCCAGAGACCCTGATCCTTCTTTCAAAAGGGGCAAGAGGGCTTTGGCAGCTCCGGCAGAGCTCCGGCAGAGCTCCGGCATCGCAAGGATCATCCATGGAGAGTTGGACGGCGTAGTTCCGGTGGAGCACAGCCCGAGACTTATCCAGGCGAACAGCCTTGAATAGCCATGACGAGCGACTAGCCAGATTGCAATAGGACGCTAAATGCGTCAGATTGGAAAGTTTCTTAAAGGTGTAAGCTGTCGGGTGTCGTTTCTTTGTGACCTTGCTAAGCCGGACTGAGGTCGCTCCTTCCTCGAGCGACTCGCGGCCCGCTGTGCAGGTGGGAATGCCAAGCGGTAGGCAAGGCGTGTTGGCGCCTGACTCCTCGCGCCAGGATCCGGAGACTACAGGTTGCCCGGGTATTTCTTGACAGGGATAGTTGCAACGGGTAGTTGGGATCGTGGCGGGTTCTTGTTGGCTCCTTTGGCGGTCAGAGTTATTTATCCTCTCTCTTGCAGTTGTGGTTTGTACGTTGTTGTAGTACCTGTGACGGACCTGTAGCTTTGGGCGCAGCTCTGCTATGTTGCTCATTTCTTCCGGCTGCCTGCAATGTTCGATTATCTTGTGCATGGTGTACAGTTTCAAGGACTCGTGCGGACGTTTGCATCCCTGCTGTGTGGTGTCTGGATGCGAGGCAGCTTTATTTTTTCACAGGCTACCTCAGCTGAACCCTGCATCCTAAGCTACAAGTATGAGGTGATGCGAGAAGCTTCCGGGATGGGGGAGGGGGGATGTGACGTACTTCTTTCGCTAGAAGCCTCCAGATAACTGCGAGGACTAGCAAAGAAGCAGTGAGCGAGTCACAAGGATCCACAACGGCAACGCCGAAACCGCATAGTAAAACACCACAGACAGCACATGGTCGCGTGTTGTGCTGTGTTTTGCGGCATCGTCCACTGAAATCGCGCATGCCGAGTATGCAAATGTTTGGCGGCTGACAACTGTATGACAATCTTTTGCGACCACTTGGTCGCTCCATTGTGATTTCCACACTTTTTTGAGATCTCACATCTGGTACACGGTCTTCCGGCTGGAATGAGGTGGCACCAGCTGCAGCGAATCAGCTGGCACAAGATGCTCAGCTTGGTTGTGGGTTCTGATGTCAACGTCGGCTGCGTCACTTGAAACTTGAGAAGACGTAATGCCAGCCGCAAGTCATGTTCTTTTGCAGTTGAGGTGAGCAAGATAGTGGCGATCTCAGAAGTTGCGACAGGCCTGGACTCTCAAAGACGTAGAAAAAGCGGAGCGTTGGGAAATTGTATGACTGAGCAGGCTCTTCGTGGTGCCCCTCGCCCGCCATGTTTTCGAGACTTGTCCGACTGAACTATTGGGGATCTCAAGCCACACAGCGTCGAGTCCCTGTTGTGCTTCAATTCCAAGGAGATCGTAACCGGTGATCTGGCGAGCGCATCATATGATGCAGCCATGACTTGGCTGTCCCAGATGCAGACAGATGGCCAAAGAAAACAAGCGTCACACTGTCACGTCACAGAGCTGGTGACGGCCCTGCCCTGCGCACATGCTGAGCTGTGGCAAGTGTCTTCTGTTCAAGACGTAGAGGGAAAAGGCATGGGACGGATGTCACATTTCTTGGGACAGGATTTCACATTTCACGGCTTTTCGGGGCCGGACTGGATTTCGCATTTTCACTGGCCTTCAGGGGCGGCGGCTACTGACAAATTCACTCACGCCTGCGGGAGGGGCGGTGGCCGAGATGCACGTGTTCACGCCCGGGGCAGGGCGGGGGCAGAGCATAGTCGCACCAGAGTTTGTCACTGATTCACAAATTCACGTTCCCGCGGTTCGCGGTTCGGATTCACAAATTCACGTTCTCGGGGTTCGGGGGGGTGAGTCTCGGATGCACATGCATGCTATCATGTGATAATTGCTGCTGAGGATCGCAGACACACTGTGGATACTCGTGTGCCGGAGGCATTCATGTCAAGATTTAGCACATGCTTTTGTCCCTTCTGTGGCATGGCTCGGAAAGCGCTCGTGGTGGCACTGGCTGTGCTGGCATTCCAGCAACTGGCTTTTCTCACCACTTGGACACGGAAAGGTCGAGCCCCTGCCAGGAGGATATGATTAGGCACACGCGGTCATGTTGCAATCGGGCATGGTTGTTCCGTGAATACACATACATGGTCCCCTGCCCACGTAGAAGCCCAGAAGACCCCCTGGCCCGCGCTGGTCCTGTCTGGAGCTTTGCTTGGCCCTGATTGAGCGCCAGGTTGGCCTTGCCGGAGCCAGCACCCGAGTTCCCCGAGATATGTACCGCCAAACCCACCCCCAGAAAATGTTCTACCCCACAACCCAACCCTAGACACACACACACACACAGACACACAGACACATACATACATTGTTCAGTCAGAATCTACCCCATATACGCAACCAGCCAACTCCAAGCCTCAACCTGCAGATTAGGGCGACGCCCTTTGTAGAGGTTCCTAACCTTGCATTACAGCTAAGATTGTGCTTTTCTGGTGGTAATACTGTAATACTGTAGTACTGGAGTAGTACTGGAGTAGTACTGGAGTAGTACTGGAGTTCGATTGCACACTCAACAACACATCCATCGCCGCAGCCTTGCTTTCACACCACGAACTGTCACATCAGAAAAGTCTTGCTTCAAATGGGCACAGGGAAAACCTGCGGCTCGATGCGCTATATCTGGTCAACGCAGCAGTTCTTCAGCTGCTTTCAAAGGCATTTCTTTACATGCTTCGCTTGCTGGTGGTCCTCGAAACTCTTCTTGGCCTTCAAATCAACAAAGACTAAGAACCACTCTTTGGCAACGGTATCAAAAACTTAAACTGCCAAAAAGATGTCCCAAGCCGAACCTTGGGCTGAATCCAGCAGCCAAACATAATCTTGGTTTGGCTGTAGCCTTGCCACAGCATCTAAGAAAACATGCATATTGTCGTAACTTTTGGTCAGCTTGCCATTTCCCTTCAAGCATGTTCTGATGGCAAGCCAGTCGCGTGGAACATCAAACCACACAGATTTAAGCCTCTTGAGCATGCCCTCCAGCTCGGTGTCTGCGCTAAATGCGGTCGTCTCCCCCCACATCGCACAGCACTCCAGAGGCCTCCCTTCGTCTGCTTGATGTTCTCCGGGAACTCAGCCACTTGGCGAAGCTGGACGGGCTTGTGTCTGCCTTCGCAGCCGCACTTATCAGAAGAAGTGAGAGAATGGGCTTGATTTGGAGGTCGGTAGTACCATCAAAGCCTGGCATTTCTACCTCTCGCACGGTATTCACAAAGATGCTCCGCTTGATGTAGGTCATGACAGTGGCGTTTCGCGTCGTTTCTTCTCCGAAAACAGCGGCAAAGAGGTCTGCAGCCGGAGGAAGCTTCAGTGTGTAGCGCCCTCTCAGCTCCTCACGCACGTGCTGGAAGAGCTCCGCGACGTTGCTCGGATTGAGGGCCACATTCTTTGGGAGCTTTACGAGAAACCCCGCTGCAAACTCCAGCAAGCGAGGAAGCTCTGAAAGGGCTGCTGCCGCAAACTCAGTCCCATTTCTTTCCCACCAAGACGTCACGACCTCCCGCTCATCCAAGCGCTCCGAAAGTTCCAAAATGTGGGGAATCCATGGGAATCCTGCCAGACAGCACGGCACCGAACCTTGGACCAGGTCAAGGACTGCCCTCCCCAAGATCACAACAATTCACATTTCAAGCTGACCACATAGGACAACACATGGCAACACAGATTGTTCAAAAACGTCTAAAGAAACAGCAGGGGGGCGGAGACAGGGTCAATGAAGAGATCACAAGAGTGGCGTCAACATCTTGGAGGATGCTCTCGTCCAAGATGGCCTGGCGGAGAACGCTGGTGACGTGCAAAGCTATCTGCTCTTCTGCTCTTGCTGCTTCGTCTGCCAGAATCACGATGGTCTTCACCTCCACATCTAACTTAGCAACAACGTGGCGGATGAAGGCACGGATGAGCTGAATGGGATACTTCAAGCCACCACTCCATGCTCGTCGCAGGAGCACGTCCAGGATTTCATCCAAAGGCTTCCCGTAAAACACCGCTGCCAGCCGTGCCACCACTGTCATCGCGAAGTTGAGCTCATCATTTGTGCTGATTCTCAGCTCTGCTGCTATCAAACTCATATGTGAGTTGTACGCGATTGCCAGTGGCAAAACGCCCGCCAAGTTCAGGAGCTCCCAGCGAAGCTCTTCGAGAGCCCGGGTCTTCCCTCCACCGCTGCCACGGAGGGTGGCCAGAAACGTCTTTTTGCAGCTTGGCGGCTTAGTGGCCAAACCCACCGCGGTCCTTGCCCAAGATGTCGCATTCAAGCTCACAACCGCATGAGACATGGTGGCAGACACATCGTTGATAATGGCTAGGTTCTCCGCTTCTAGTTTGCGAAAAAATACTCACCACGTGCAGCACGTCCTGGTGTGTAGATGTCATTCGGCTGCATGTCCTGAAACACGGCGTCAAACACATCTTTGGGGTCACTTGCAGACGCACAGGAAGTTTTTTCCCAAACAAATTCGCACCCACCCTGCGCGAAGCAATGCCGGCCAGCGTTGTGGGTGATGCCATCATGGCCCCCGCGCATTGGTGCTGGCCTGAGCTAGACTTAGACGCCATGCAATATTCGCAACTGTTCACCATCGCAACTGTTCGCTCTTGCTGAGGCAGCTAGCGAGTCACATCCTGGGCAGCCGGCTCCTCTCGTGGAAGCAGCATACCCTGCAGCGTCCGTTTTTGCAACATAGATGGCTTGAAGAGCAGAGTGTACATCCAAAGCACAACGTTGGAGTTTGCACAGCTCAGGATTCATCACTTGGTCACATTCTTCGGGGTCCGTTGAAAATGTGCTTGACCCAGCCAGCCATTGCAGCTGCAGAGTCTGCTTGTCGTAGATTTGTGGACACGATCGCTTCTGTTCTTAGTCTTCGTTGAGGTCCAGTCGTTTTGCGCTTCCTGCAGCGAGGCCGCGCAGGCTGTTCGGCTTGCGCAATCTTGGGCTTCCGCAGCTCAATTGCTTCACAGCAGCGCCAACCCTGTGTAGAACGACTGTCCGTGCAAGTTCTATGTGAGAAGACCTGACGTGCGCACTTCTGCAGCTTGTCCGTATGGCTGGCATATGGTAGTAGATGCGCTGCAACTTCTGTCATAAGTGGTTGTCCAAGTGCTGAGTCCATCGCAGATTTGCGGACCCACCACCGGCTCTAGTCTTATCGTTCTTTGCGATTCAGTCGTCTCGCTCCTGGCGCAGCAAGGCGGCGCAGCCTGTCCGGCTTGCGCGATCCCGGGCTTGTGCCACTCAACGACTGCTCCACAGCAGCGCTTCCCTCGGCAGAACGGCTGTCCATGCAAGTTCTATGTCAAAAGATCCGAAATGTGCACTTCTGAAGCATGCCCGCTTGGCTGGCGCATGGTTGTAGATACGCGGCAAGTTCCATCATGTACAGGTGTGCAACGGCAGAGTCTGCTCATCGTTGGTTTGTTGACCATCTGTTCTGTCCATATCTTGAAGGTACAGTCGCCTCGTGCAACAAGGCTGCACAGCCTGGCTTTGGCGATGCTGGGCTTCTGCAGCTCAACTGCTGCTTCACATCAGCACCCTGGGCATAAGGACTGTCCCTGCAAGCTCTATGTGAGAAGATCCGAAACGTGTACTTCTTCAGCATGCCTTGGCTGGCACATGGTTTTGGACGTGCAAGTTCCATCATGTGTGTTTCTCCAAGTGCAGCGGCGTCTCAGGGGTTTGTGGACAAACCATGGGTTCCATTCTCTTCGTTCTTTGAGGGTCGGTCGTTTCACGACTGGTGCCGGGCCGCGCAGCCTGTCCGGCTTGCTCAACCCTGGGCTTCCGCAGCTCAGCTACTGCTCGCTCCTCCTCCCCTTTCGTGCCATCCACTAGCTCTTGCGCGAAACGCTGTGTCAGCTGCTTCAGCTGTTCCGCGGGCTCGAGTCTCTTCAGAGTATCGAGGATTTCTGCCCCCATGTTGAGGAGCGCGACTTCGTTCGCATCCACGAACCCCCCTGACATCTCAAGAGCTTCGGCCACTCTGGTAACCCTCGTCTGGTCTGCAGCGGCAAATTCGGGCAGAACGACTGCCAGTGCAGGTTCTGTTTGAGAAGCTGATTAAGCTGATGTGCGCTTATACATCATGTCCGCGTGGCTGGCACATGGTTGTAGTCTTATGCTTCTTTGGGGTCCGGTCGCTGTGGGCCTCGTGCAGCAAGGCCGCACAGTCTGTCCGGCTCAGCTCAATTACAGCAAAACCATCCCTGGGCAGAACGACTGTCCGTGCAAGTTCTGTGTGAGAAGATCCGAAATGTGCACCTCTGCAGCATGGCCGCTTGCTGGCCTCTGGTTGTAGACCTGCATCAAGTTTCATCATGTGACTGAGGTACGGATGTCCAAGTGCAGAGTCCGCTCATTGCAGTTTTGTGGACCCACCATCGGTTCTGTTCCACCCCGTTGTTTGATTGCCAGTGCTCTTGCGCCACAGGGCTGCGTAGCCTTACCGGCTTGTGCGATCCTGTGCTTTTGCAGCTCAACTACTCTTTAGCAGCAGTGCCAACCCTGGGCAGACTGATTGCTTGTGGAGGTTCTATGTAACTTCCAAGATGCGCAATCCTACTGCTTGCCTTCCTGCTGGCATGTAGTTGTGGAGATGTAGACGCGCCACAGTTTCCGTCATGAGCAGGTGTAGCAGGCGTCCAAGTGAAGAGCCCACTCGTCGCAGACTTGTGGACCCACTATCAGTTGGGTTTGTACGTACCGCGCCTGGCGCAGCAAGGCCGAGCAGCCTGTCCAGCTTGCGCAATCCCGAGCTTGTGCGGCTCAACTGCTCCACAGCAGCACCGACCCTGGGCAGAACGACCGCGCAGGTCCTGTCCTTTGAGACGTTCCCAAATTTAAGCACTTCTGCAGCATGCCCTAGTGGCACATACTTGTAGACTTGTAGACGTGCCGCACTTTCCATCATAAGTGGTTGTGCAAGAGCAGAGTCCACTCTTCGCAGATTTGCGGACTCACGATTGATTCTGTTCTTCTCAGTCTTTCAAGTCCATTCGTCTCGTGCCCAGTGTGCAACAAGGCCGCGCAGCCTGTCCGGCTTACGCGATTCTGGGTTTGTGCAACTGAACTACTCCTTCGCAGCAGCGCCATCCCTCGGCAGAACGACTGCCCATGCAGGTTCCGTTTGAGAAGATCCGAACTGTGGACTTCTGCAGCATGCCCGCGTGGCTGGCACATCGTTGCAGACGCACCTCAATTTCTGTCAGTGGCTCATACGTGGTTGTCCAAGTGCAGAGTCCGCCCATGGCAGATTTCTGGGCCCGCCCTTGCTTCCATTCTTTGAGGTCCAGTCATCATTTTGGGCCTAGTGCAACAAGGCCGCGCAGCTTGTCCGGCTTAGGCGATCCTGCAGCGCAACTACTGTTTCGGCTTCGCAGCAGCGCAAATCCTGGGCAGAGCGAGCGTCGATGCAGGTTCTAAGTGAGAAGATCCGGAATGTTCCATAATTTGCGCTTCTTCAGCATGCCCGCTTGGCTGGGGCATGGTTTCTGCCACGCGGCAAGTTCCATCATGTGTTGTTCTCCAAGTGCAGAGTCCGCTCATTGTACGTTTGTGGACAAGCCAGCGGTTCTGTTCTTATTGCTCTTTCAGGTCTTGTGCTCTTGCGGTGCAGCAAGGCTGCGCAGCCTGTCCAGCTTGCGCGATCCTGGGCTTCTGCAGCTCCACTACTAGTGCCTGACTGCAACGCTAATCCTGGGCAATAGGTTGTTTCATGCATGTTCTATGTGAGAAGCTCCAAAGTGTGCACTTCTGCCGCATGCCGGCCTGCTGGCACATGGTTGCATACGCGCCGCCAATTCCGTCGTGTGTGGTTGTCCCATGCCAGACTCATCCCAGGCTTGTTGACACCACACGTTCACCATCAGTTCTGTCCTTATTGTTCTGTCAGGCCGGTTTTGGGCCTCGTGCAAAAAGGGAAGCCTCGCACGAGCCTTTGCCATTCTGGGCTTGTGCGGTTCAGCTGCTTGAGAGCGCCAACCCTGGACAGAAAGACTGTCCATGTGAGAAGATCCAGAATCAGCACTCCGGCAACTTGTCCGCCTGGCTGGCACATGGCTGCAGATGCGCGGCAAATTCCATCAAGTGTGGATGTCCAAGTGTAGAGTCCGCTCAGTGTAGGTGTGTGGACTCAATATCAGTGCTGTCCTTATCGTTCTTTGATGTTCATTTGTCTCGTGCCTGGTGCAGCAAGGCCGCGCAGTCAGTCCGGCTTCCGCAATCCTGGGCTTGTGCTGCTGAAGCTTCAATGCAGCGCCAACCCTGGGCAGAACGACACCGTGCAGGTTCACATTGTGTGAGAAGATCGGCAAGCGGCCTGGCATGTGGTTGCATAAGCACCGCGAGTTCCGTGATCTGTGGTTGTCCAAGTGCCGAGTCTTCTCATCGCAGGTTTCTGGACTCACCGGTGCGGTTCTGTTCGGGTCAGTCCTTGAGGTCCAGTCGTCTCGCGCCTCGTGCGCGAGGCCCCGCCGGCTTGCGCAATCCTAGGTTTCTGCAGCCGAAGTGATGCTTCACAGCAAGGCCAACCCTAGGCAGAATCACTGTCCATGCAGATTCTGTTCGAGAAGTTCCCAGGTGTGTTTCGGCAGTACGCCCACTTGTCTGGCACATGGTTGTAGACGCGCCACAAATTCCATCATGTGTGGTTGCCCAATTGCAGGGTCCATGCATTGTAGATTTGTGGACTTGCCGGTGCAGTTCTGTGTACATCATTCTTTTAGGTCCAGTGCTCTTGCGCCTGGTGCAACAAAGCTGCGCGGCCTGTCCGGCTTACGCGATCCTGGGCTTCTGCAGCTCCACTACTGCTTGACTGCAACGCCAATCCTGGGCAGTACGTTTTTTCATGCAGGTTCTATGTGAGAAGCTCCGAAATGCGGACTTCTGCCGCATGCCCGCCGGCTGGTACATGGTTGCACACGCGCCGCAAATTCCATCGTGCGTGGTTGTCCAAGCGCAGACTCGACTCATCGCAGACTTGTTGACTCACTGTAAGTTCTGTCCTTATGGTTCTTTCAGGTCCAGTCGTTTCGGGCCTTGTGCAACAAGGCCGCGCAGCCTGTCCACCTTGCGCAATCCTGGGCTTGTGCAGCTCAGCTACTACCTGAGAGTAGCACCAACCCTGGGCAGGAAGACCGTCCATGCAGCTTCTACGTGAGAAGATCCGGAACGTGGTTGTAAAAGCGCAGCAATTGCATTCTTCTGTGGTGGCCCAAATGCAGAGTTTGTGGACTCACCAGCGCCGTTCTGTTCGTATCATTCGTTAAGCTCCAGTCG